GATGTCAGTAACTGGCCAAGGACAGACCGTCTATCTGTTTATAAGAGTGACAATATTTGAACGAGAACTGAAACCGAATTCGCAAAATCTCATCCAAGTATTATGTTAATTCGTTTTACGGATTGAAGAACGTGTACAAGAAAATTCATTTGTACAAGCCCTTTTACTTTTCCAAATTGATATCTTTATACAAAATATCGTCATGTGACAAAACCAAAACACAAGAAAAACAGGAGTTTAAAGAAAAAACAAAATGAATGGTAAAATAGTCATGTAAAATAGTAATAGTAGTGGTAAAATGGTTTTTACCATTAGGTAAAAATGGTTTTAACCATTTTACTACTACTATTACTATTTTACATGACTATTTTACTATGACTATTTTACCATTCATTTTGTTTTTCTCTTTAAACTCCTGTTTTTCTTGTGTTTTGGTCACATGACGATATTTTGTATAAAGATATCGAGAACTGTTCTTTCACCCGAATTAAAGGCTGCCTTAAGGCTGATACATTTATGGACAACAGGCAAAGCGGGAGAATAACGTCCAGCATAAGGCGATCAGCGGTAAATCCTTTTGGCTTAATGTATTCCGACTAAGAACCCCGGCTTTGCCTGGGCTTGGCTCATGCTGCGTTGGGCTTTGGCTCCTTGGCCATGGCCTGAATCTGGCTGGATCTGGTCTTATCACTGGACTAGACTTGAAAATGCAAAGGCTTTGGTTACACGAAGGATAGCCCTGGGTTGCGTCTAAAATAGGCCTTAGCTACTAGAAAGGAGCTAAGTTTGGCCTGGCCTGTGCCTGACCTGGGCTAGGCTCGACTCAGGTCTGATTAAGACCAGGGGTAAGCTTGGCTTGGTTTAGGCCTGGGCTAGGCTTGACTTAAGTCCGGTTTAGGCCTGGGCTAGGCTAGGCTTAAGCCAGGTTTAGGCCTGGGCTAGGCTTGGCTTAAGTCCAATTTAGGCCTGGGCTAGGCTTGGCTTAAGTCCAATTTAGGCCTGGGCTAGGCTTGGCCTAAGCCGATTTAGGCCTGGGCTAGGCTTGGCTTAAATCGGGTTTAGGCCTGGGCTAGGCTAGGTTTAAGCCAGGTTTAGGCCTGGGATAGGCTGTGCTTAAATCCAATTAAGTCTTAACTAGGTCTGGCTTGGTCTAGGCTAAGTCTAGGTCAGATTTAGACCTGAAGTTAGCATGAGCTAGGCCTTGCTTTATTTTTGTTAGGCCTGACCTAGGCATAATCAACCTGTGTCAGGTATGGCATACCTACGGCTCTGGTCTTACCCCGACTTGGCCAGAGGTGTAGGCTCGATCTAGCCAAAGCTTAGGCTCTTTTAGACTGGGCGTTCGCTGGTCTTTGCCTTGGGATGAGCCTGTCCCTTTAAGGGGCTAGATCTTAGTCTTCTTAAGGCATGGACTAGACATGAATGAGGCCGACATTGCGTAGGCTGGGAAAAGGTGTCGGTTAAGCAAGGATAGCCTTGGGCTGTCTTGACTAGGCTCAAGCTACTAGTGGGCTAGGCCTAGCAAAACCGTGAGCTAAGCCTGAGATAGGCCTGCACACCTAATAAACCACCCGGTAATATCAGGCTATGCCTACCCAAGCATTTTTAGACTGTGGTCGGCGGAGTGAGCAGTTGAGGTCATCTTTTGTCCAAATGGTCATGAAGGCGGCGACAACAGGCGTCGTGGAGCGCTAAGGGCATGGCAAGGCACTATAGACTCATGGTCATCCACTGCAGCTGACGAAGTACCTGGTCGTGACGGCTTCTCCGTAGCACCAAATCCTGACTTTTGTGGCCGAGAGAGTGGGATTGCCCCTTTGCAACGACCTTCCCACTTCAAAAACCATTCCGCTCAGGTTATCATCATGTGACCCCACACCACACTCCAAACCACCAAAGCCCTGTGGCGATGGGAAACGAGTGGAGCAACAGGTGGAGGTTACCATTGGCAGCGGCCTTATAGTAAAGTTGCTGTCCTCCTGACCCCAGAACAACAGTGGAGTTGGGCGTTTTTCTCGGGCGACTGAGCAGCCTTTTAGGAGAACACTGCTCACCCTTACATGAGGGAGTGGACTAGAAAATGTGTCCCAAAGAAGTGCTTGTCCCTTCCAACTGGCAAGCATGCCGCGGCTGGCAGTTGTACCCTCCAAGTGGTCGAAACTAAAGAAAGAGACAAATGATTCTTGTTGCCTGACAGAGAGGCCTCTGAGGCCCAAACAGCTCCCATTGCAAGGGAGCTGACCTGCTACTGCATTAGACATCGCGGCCCTTAGCGAACCTAGACTAGCCGAAGAAGGGTCTGTGGCGCGAACTCAAAGGCGGCTACACCTTCTGGAAAGGCAAAGCCAAGGGTGAAGAGAGAATCCACGGAGTAGGGCTAGCCATCAAGACATTGCTCCTCAAACAACATCCCTACCTACCAGCTTCGTTGAATGAAAGGCTGATGAAACTCCGTTTCCCTCTCAACCGTGACCGGCACGTCACCCTCATCAGCACGTATGCCCCTACTCTTACCAGCAGTGATGTAGTGAAGAAAGCCTTTTACGAAAAGCTCAGTACCCTCATGAATGACACGAAGAGAGGCGTCGGTCACTGACTCCTTGCCCCTAATGCACCCGTATTTGCCGATCGGGGATTGGCTTGAACTGCCATCTCCGCGCCCACGCAGGGAAAAGACTCACATGAAGACAATCATCATCGTATCGATGGACGACCAAGAAAGAAACATTCCTTTAACTCTTTTTCATGCACGGATTTTTATATTTCATTTGTAGATCGTGTTCAGGGGAAAGAATGTACTTACATGTACATGTACGTATAATGTAGCTATGTGGATATTATTGATATATTTTCTTGTACCATTGTTAAAACGAAGACTATAAACCATGTATAGTTTATAAGGAAAACATGTGGTGTAGATCGAAGAGTTGAAGGCAGGTCTGTGTTTGCATAAATATTGCCAAAATGTCCGTATTTGTAGAATTATGAACAGTGTTGTTGAGTAGACTGAATAGGCCTACATGCATACTTTTCGGCGTCAAGATCTTAAGGAATTTATATTTAAATGTAGAACTCCACATTCTCAGGGTGTTATGAAAGTGAAATACGTTCCGATCGAGATATAATTGTTTTAATGTGAAAGTTGTGGTTATGAAACGGAATTTCATTTTGATTGTTAAATCAGCACTGTGCATCTGTCAGTGTTTATTTATTGTGAGACAGCCTGTAAGGGTGGAGACGGCTGCATAGTAAATTTGTCAGATGTTGATTGGCTGAACGGCATTCAGAACGACGTAGCAAAACGTTTTAGCCTTGGGCAGACGGACTATGGCAGTCAGGACAACGTGAGGTGGAACTAGCGAACGGGTTGGTTAAATGTCGGGCCAATGAATACATAAAGTCGGTAAGTGGGCAGGATTCCAACAGCGTAGGCTTGGGTGGGAAATGGATCGGCTAAAGGTCGGGCTAATGAATTAATAAAGTCGGTAAATGTGTTGAAGATGGCAGTCGGGGCAAGGTGGGTGGAGATCGGAGCTTGTACGTCGGTACAACGCCTTCAAAAAGTTGGTACAACGACGGACGTTTCAGCTCGGCCACCGTCGGGCCGTGGCCGTAAAAGATAAGTCGGTACAACGTCGGTCCATTATCCGTCCGACAGCAAATCATCGACGTCGGAGGGATTTGCAAATGCCCAGTCTACCGACGACCTTCCAACGTCATGTATTGACTAAATTCAGACGTCGGCCCGACGTCCCTGTTCTACCTGGGTATGCATGCGATCCCACTTGAATAACATTCGAGTCGCTTCATTACTTGGGGTCTGACTGCATTCCAGCGGGATTTATAATATTACGCTTTATTGAAACATGAGTTAATGTACCAACATCCCACTTCATCACTTTTTTAAGCGGCTTCGTGTACTGTTTGAAGTTACACAGATAATTGAGTAGGAAAGTCACTGTCATCTGCTTAATGAATTTAGCGGTGCGCTTGAGGTGTTTAGTTGAACGTTCTTGTTGTAAAGATTTATGTTTGCTATGATCTTTAAGTTCCAAATTTAATGCGGGAGATTTACAATAGTGCGCCCTAAGATTTTGCAACACGTTGGCCAATTACAACACTTGAAATCGTTCGACCCTTTCCAAACCGCGCATTGGGTCGAAACATTTCGTGCAATATGATTGGCCAAAGCGTCGCAAACTCTTGAAGGCGCATTGTTGTGAAACGTCAGTATTATGACAGCACTACTAGATGCCTAACTTTTAATTATTCCCACTATCTGAGTCTGAGTCATCTAAAGGAAGATCTCTAAATTTCTAAGTCCCGGTGTGTGACTGTGGACTTTATCTGAGTGATTAAAACTTTGCGGTGCAACGATCGAAACTCGTGTGACAAACATGCAAGTGTCTCCACAGTTTCTGGGGTGTGGCTGTGTGGATTTTGCTTGAGTGATGTTAAAAAAAAATTATCAATGTAAAATAACACGATAGCATAATGTCGTTTTCAGAGAAATAAATCTTTTAATGAAAACAAAGTCTTTATAACTGACCAATGCCTTAATTTACACCGATGAAGTTTTTTTAGGTCAAGCTATTCACTTCAGTGTGTTGAGTATTTTATGCCGTCTGCGGAATTTACAGATGAATGGCATAGTATTTATTAAATTATGAATCTCAGTCACAACGAAATTGCTGTGTAAAACTCGGAAATATTACGCCATCAGCTTGTTCATACGTGTGGGTGGTCTGACTTCGAAAGCATAAGTTTATTTACATAATTTTGCAAGCAAGATTTCTTGCCGTAAATATTTTCTTCGCATAAAAGTTGCATGTTTATCGATTAACATTCAGCTTCACTTGCTAAAACTTAAAAATCAACATTTGGCAGTTGACGATTATAAGGCATTGTATACACTTGAAGGTTAATTCTGATATGTGACTGTGTATTGTTATAGATTATGGATCTTCAGAAGTACAACACGCATCTCAGCCTCAGGGGAGTCTTGTGAATCGTATAGGGCTAATTACTCAGCCATGTTTATTCGATCTGGAAAACACGGAAATGACAAACAATTTAAATGCTTGTTCCATTATAACAAAACTGAATTTCCAAAGATGATCTAAATTCTGTGGACTTGTGTATGTATAAAGCAATGACATAACTGGCTAAATTCAAAATACTGATGTGCATATAGTTTTCCTTATTAATGTTGTGTTACTGAAATCTAGACTGAAGTTATCAGTTCTTTCATTAAGAAATTATTCACGATAAAGACTAACACTTTTAACTTGAAAACTCTACTAAATCTGGAAATTAAAGACTAAGCTATGTATGTCATATAACTTTAGTAAACAACTAATGTAATTCAGAAGTTTTACTCAATCTTGGTGTTCTAAAGCGTGAACCTATATGGGTATTTATATCCACTTAAACTGGCTTCATGTCTTACAAAATACATGCACACACAGTTCCACTACAACAATAACTTCATTCAAATCTAACGTTAAACACTATACTAAATTTCGTCTTTACTTCTCAAGAAATCCTTTAAATGAAGAGTCAAATGAATGCTTTCTTCTTTGGCAAAACTCCTCTCGGTAACTGTCTAACGTTGGTCTAGTAAAAAACTGGTGAAAACTGTGTCACATTTTGGACAAAACTCTTTCAAGAGAAAACATAAGAAAATATTTCTGACAAGCATGGTCTGGTTACAAACCTCCAAACTATTGAGGGCGCTGTTCATTATGATTATTATACCTTAAGGGATTTAAGAGGTAAAATATCTTTTTACTAATAATTTAGTTTAAAACCCGGTACTCTTTGAGAACCAGTTTTATCCCCACAAATCATTTGCATCGTAAAATTTCTGCATTTTTTGAACATGATTAAAGAGCTTTTCTACTCCTTGTAATTTGGATGATATTTGAGTTCGTTTGGTGAACAAAAATTCAGCGTTGTAGACACATCTACGCACACCGTTCACCTGTCTCAATGCATGCCTCATCCTTGGAGATTTCACTGTAAACTGGTCACTCCGTACCTGTTAAATAAAAGAAAATAAATTAGATTGATTGCCAAATATACAACTTTTACGTTATGGAGTTGAAAACAGGATTGTACGGAAACAATGATAGGTATGACTGTATACTGTGCATTGGGATTAGTTACGTGACTATATTCTCCATCCGAATGTTACTATACGCCCAAAGCCGCATGCAGATGACGAAAGATCACTAAGATCTCTAAAGCTAGAGCAATTTGGAAGGTCCATTTAACCTGTTTTGAACTTTGGCCTTACAAACAAGTGAATATTACTCGAAACACGCAGACATTTGTATTTTCGTACCTTTGCATTCGTCTTCAGATGCAGCACCGTTCACAGCCGTCGTTCCACTACCCGCACACGGGATGCATCGAGTTTGCTGCTCTGCAGGCTGATACGATCCCAGTGGGCAAGGCTGACATGGATGGAGTCCAGTTGCACTGAATGTTCCTGGGCCACAGATAGCTGTGAATTAAAGGTACTCGAAGTAGAAATATTTACTTTTGAAAAGTCTTTGTCTCAAAAGACAGCAGTTCTAACTGTAAATGTTTGATCCGATCCATTCGATGGTAAAATTTCCCAGGAAAATGCGAACTATGCATAATTAGTTTTCCTCGTGGCTACTAAAGTAGACTTACCTTGGCAGTTGCTCGATGACCTGGATCCCTTCGATGATGTTGTGGTACCCTCCCTACACGGCAGACAGGACGTTTGCTTGAAGCTAGGCTGGAAGGAACCCTGGGGGCACGGTCGGCAAGTGGCCAGTCCGGTCAATGAGAACGTACCGGGTTTACACTCCGCTGGAATCGCACAATAAATGTAGCGAAACTATATCTTAATTGAGTTCAGTAAATTAAGAATTAATCTAAATTTGAACCGTAACATGTCATGTGTATTCAAGAAGCTAAGAGGAGAGGAGAAATTTCTGCCCTTTTTTTAGAGCTGTTGAGAAATGTCAAAAGCTCTTTCCGTTGGGAATCGATCCCACAACTTTCTACGACTGCTTAATACCGGAGCAAAACCTTATCTACTCTCGGGGTCAGCCTTTTGCTTCAAAATTGTTTCCAGAGTGGAGGGAAATGTCCAGTTTTTAAGCGTGGAAGCAACCGCCCCTTGACACTTGGTTTGTCAGGTGAAAAACAGAGGTTAATTTAAGACTGTGTTAGACAGGCTGTTGGACTGTCAAATAGCTTACGCAGGCATTCGCTTGAATTCTTGGCGCGGGGTCCATCGGTCCATGTCCCCCAGGGACACGGCTTGCATTCATCCTGCCCCTCCTCGTCCTGGTACGTCCCTTCAGCACAAACTTTGCAGGTCTCTGTTCTACTGTCGAAGTGCGAACCCACTGCGCAGCTTACTAAAAGTGACAAATTAATGTCATGTGAGAAGTCGGGGTCAAGTACTCTAATTAGTGAAAATCAGACATAATGTAATTTTTACTGTTTGAAAGATTTACATTCTCTTTGTTTTTGTACCTTTTGTGACAAAACAATAATGCATACATGTTATGAAGGCGTGCACTTGAGGTTGTGTACATTTTCGTGAGAATGATTTCTTGAATTGTAAACGTTACCGATTTCCGAGCTGAATAACTAGTTACTATACTTCATTTTGTGAACTACAGAGTGTACTCCTGTTGCGTGATTTCCTTGAATTATGTTTCAAGGTGCTTTCTCTACAATATTATGACAGATGTACTTACTGCAGTTCGTGTCGTTCAGTGCGACGGATCCACGACGGCACATTGGAACACTCTTGTTGATCGTGACTGAGCCCTCTACGACAAGCAGGGTTTCATTCTCAACCACCAGTCGCATCTGTCCAGCCTGTGCAATTCGCTCGTAGTCCCGGCTGATTTCATCCAATGTTTGCTCGGCATTTGCCAATTGATCCTTGTATCGCGTCTTATCCTGAGGTAACCAAAAGTCAGAAAAGCAAAAACTATGTAACGACAAATAACTCCAGACGGATGACAGGTTTCGGAAAAACCATAGGCCAGCTTACAGACTGTGCTTGTGATCACAACGGAATCTTGAAAATAGAAGCTGACTCACCAAAGAGTATATCTTCGTCGACACAGTGAAATCTATGGTGACGATGCTACCGAAGTCTGTCCCGTCACTAGCAATCTGACGGCGTCTTCTACGCCGCCTGTCCTCGTCGATATCCCCACAGTACAAGGTCACATACTCGACCCTGCGAAAACACACATCGGCTTTGTTCAGACTCAGGACGAGGACCTGAAGAACGGCATGTCAACATTTCTTAAAGATAGCAGTTAGCTTACGTGCAGGCGTTGTCCGCGACGCAGCCACCGTTTCGTTTCACACTCCTTTTGAAATCGTCCACAAATGCTGCCTTGATTGCTTGCCGGGCCTTCTCATTGCTACAGTCCCCTACGTAGTACTGAGATACCATGCCCCGTCTGTATCCGTATGAATCTGCTATTTCTAGACGCGCAACAAACACGTATATTTTCATTCATTTCACTGGAAATGGACCATCGGAACGTTTTTATAAAGAATGTATTTTAAACTTAACCATCAGTGGTGGTAACTGCCTTCATACGGTTGACCATGGTAACGGAAGGCTATGGAAGAATCCTTGATTTACTCTGTTAAGTGTCACCTTGATAGTGATGAAGATGAATAAAATATTGAAATCTTGATATCTTGAGTGGATTATGCAATAAATTCCCCCAAACCACGATAGATAACTTTGTTTTTTGGTATTCGTGGTATATGGAATTCATGGCCACCGTGTCGCTTGTATACCCTGACTGAACCTACTGACATTGACGGCCACAGCGGATTTTGAAGCCCAAAGCAAAGTAGCGATTACAAAACCAATGTTGTCCGATTGAATTCATTCTCTCTACCTTGCGTTTCCACTGTTCCGTGAAAAGCGATTTGAGTGTAGATCGTGGACAGAATTAGAGGGGCGTAGAGCTAGAGGACGTGCTAAGGCATCCTATTCTTACCCGAACAGTCTGGCCAGGGTATGGCCATTCTAGGTGGAAACGTGCGCCATCTCCCTTGAGAGCAAATGTAATAATGAGCTGGCCTTTGGGGGAAGTCAAAGGCTTCTTTGCAGTATATCCGACAGAACACACCGAAGAGCCACTCGTCACAGGCCCTGCCGCCGTTACGTGGGTCCGGGTAATTTGGACATCTGTTGTCTGAAACAAAAAAGGACTGATTAAAGTACTTGAATTAATAGTCATTATTCATGACAGTGTATCTGTTCAGTTAGCTCGAAGAATCGTTGTCAATACCTGTAAATGAAAGGTTCATCAAAACTAATAAATTTGACGATATCGCATGAGCTCTTATTTTTTCCCAAAAGGAGTTTGTATTCATCAATACACTGATGCCATGTGCTCTTTTACTAACACACGTCATGTATTGAAATTGTTACCAAAGAAAACATTATCGAAACATATCGTTTACCGATAACGATTGTTAAGAGTATGTATAAACGGTTTATTCCGTCTGCAGCCTTGAATAAACCGCTTTTTTCAAGCATGTAGTTTGAACCTGATTTTGACGTTTTATATATTTTTAATCCTGAAATGCTTATAGGAAACACCGCTACTTACGTCCAAGGCGAATCGTGAAGCGACATTCGGCGCTCAGTCCCGCCCCATCTGTAGCTGTGTAAGTCACAATGTGCGAACCCCAGGTAAAATTAGCCCCTTGCTCGTGTGACTGAAATGAGAAAAAATAATATTCTGTTTTGTTTTTGTTATTTGATATTGTAATGTATTTTAATTCTGAAAGAAAAACACTTTATCTCCTAAATCCAAGTCACGGAAGCTGTGAATAACAGTAGACGAGACTGGAAAGGCTTAGGTTTTGATGTTGGAGGGAAGGCCTCCGTAATTTTTTAGGCCGTGGCCCAGGCAGGAAAGTTAAACTTGTTAACTTGGTAAACACGTCAAACCTTTACCATGATTGTGTGTAATTGGGTTTTACATAGGGACCATAATTTGAATCTTACTTTGACGATGTGGAGATCTTGGCGGGAATTATCGTCAAATTGGGGCTCATCCCACGAGACAGACTTCGTCCTCGTTCTAGAGGTGATGTCAATAATTGGCCCAGGGCAGACCTCCACCGTCGGAGGCTGTGTGTCTATAGGAGTGACAACATTGGAACAAGGAAAAGTGAAATTTAATTTGCAAAATTGCAAAAACTGTCGTGTTAATTCTTTTCATACATGACTTTAAAACACGCAAAAGAAAATTTGTTTTTAAAAGCTCTTTTGATTTTCTCAATTGTTTATTTTATCATTCATTTTGTGTTTCTTTTTAACTCCTTGTTTGATTTAGTCACATAACCATGATGTGAACCAGTCATAAATTTTAACTGATATTTGGTATCCTGTATAAAGACATTGTGATAGTTAAATAATAAACAAATAAATTTTTCATTGGTATGGAAGTCTTTGAGGGTGAGGAAATGCCAGTGAACTCCGATGCCTCGGAGGGCTTTTCAGTATACTGTTCTGTCACCCGAATGAAAGGCTGCCTTAAGGCCGATGGATCACTGACAACATATGGGCGAGAATGACATCCAGCGTAAAGCGATCAGCGGTGAATCCTTTTTGCTCAGGTCTTCTTGTGCTCAACTATAGGAGATCGTGGGCGAAAACTTCCCCCGAACAGTCAGACACCTAATGGGATTTAAGCGTTTACATTCAGAACTAAAGCTCTTCCCTTTATAGGGCGCAACTATGATGCCCTCTGTCTAATCAGCTCAGGTTTCTCCCGCTTGCCGTACCCGTATAGGAGAACTTGTAGAATGCAGCACTATTTGGGTCTTCAGCGTATGTCGAAAGATCAGTGTCATGTGGGTGGGACCGGCTTCTTCACCATTCTGCAGCCTTTTGATAGTTGATTGATGGAGTCATCTTTGGGAATTACCGAGATAGTTCGAGGAGCTGTAGGGATGTCCAAGTCTGGACATGGTGGAGCTGTTTGGATGGGCAGCTTCAAATTATTCCCTCGATCTGTAAAGAGACTCCTTCTGTGTCAAGTAGGGTGAAGTATTGTTTTGTTGATGTTCGTGTTTATACTTTTATCAGGTTTTGCTGGGAGCTCTTCAACGAGTTAGAGAAACTAATTAAGATTATGGTGGGTATGTCGCTGCCAATGCTTTCAGTGAATTCATCTAGGACGTTTCCCTGTCATGCTTTGCCTTAGCTTGAGGGTCTCCGCGCAGGCTACCATGTTTCGTTGGTTGATCATTCTGGCTTTTGATTTTTCGTCCAGAACCTGGGAGTTTCCTTGTTGAGCCAAGGACGTCATTTGGGGCGTTTCTTGTTCCCAAATGATTGCTGTTTATGAACAGTTGAACTGATGCAAGATCAAGCAGCCTGCACATACGTTTCGAGGTTGCGTAGGACTTTGAACCAGTTTTGGATGGTGACTGAGTATGTAGCCAGGTTTTACCAGGGTATTATCAGGGTATACCTGTGCAACTTCCACCTTTTGAGACGGTAGTTTACACTGTCAGGGGCTATGGTCCCTTTCATAGCGATTTTCTTCAGCTGACCCACAACCCCGAAGCCCACATTCCTTTCATCCGGTTCCACCCAAGGCTCGACCACTCTCGAGATTCTGATTGTGGACCACAGTCTCTGAACAGTTCGAGTTCTGTCTTACCTCGAATAACGACTTTCAGCACGCATAATGAGCTTAGGCCGGCCCTGTCTGTCACGTTGTAAGTGATGACCACTGATCCGATCTCAAAGCGATGAGGGGAATTCAGACCGTCTGGAGTGACCGTGACGGTGAGAGCATCTGTTCTGTCCAGGTTGTCCTGAAAAGTTGGCATATCCCAGCTTGCCTCAGCCGACGACAGGCCGGGATCAGCATCTTTAACCACAGATCGTGGACAGGTGATTATTTCTGGTGGGGTATCATCTGAAATCCATTATAAATAAAAAATAAAACTCGTCAAGTAGGACTATATGGTAAGAATTGTGATTCTGTGCAACGTATACACAAGGCTAGTAATTATTTTACAACCAGATTTGGGGTACAGTAATCAAGATCTTATTACCGGAAAAATGAATCTCAATAAACTATATATCATCCTGGATTATGCCATGCCATCCAAAATAAAGAAAATATAGGAAGAAATCAATATTGCCAAATACATTTTATCTGATAGTAAATGACGTGTCCCACCAACAATTAAGACCGTTGACGGGAAGCCACCCACCAACATCTGGGATTATACTGAATGCGCTATGGCGTAATGAATCTGTCAACCCTGTAATTGGATTGGTCAATTTCACAAATTGAAATCTGCCGACCCTTGAGCTTCTACTATAATACAAGGTCTAAAATGAAAACGAAGAAACTGAAAAACATTATGAGTGAGACAAACTCAACGGACGAGGTTGAGACTAAACTTACCCACACAGGCAACCTCTTCCCCAGCGCGTGACCAACTGCCACCGGCCTCGCACGTCTTGAACGAGGGACCACGCAGTTTGAATCCATCTTTGCACTTGAACATGCAGATGAAATTAAGCGGTCGCCTTGTGGAGCATGTCGTGGGGTGAATTGAGCCGTGACGCAGTGGGGGTAACGCTGGGCAGGTGATGGCTGAAAAATGGGGTAATAATCTGCCATCATTAGAAACCCACAACATTTTAAAGGGAAATCGATTAGCTTTAGCTTATCTCGAGTACCAATCGACACTTTCTTTCTGAAGACTTATTTCTGAGGAGCAAGGATGTTTATTAACCAAAGTAAGCAACACTGTAACAAAAGACTCTTTACGCAGTATTTAGGTAGTATTTTGTTACGATGTCCTGTCGTCTTGTGTCGAGTCATGTTGTGTTGTAGTTTACGAATGTTGCTCAAATCATTCGAAAATGGCCTCTCTGTGGCAAACTCTTGTTGGCTCTGTGTATGGTGCATCTTTTGCATCCCTTGTATCTAAGGCTTCTTCCCGATGGCTTTTTTCATCAGTTAAATTATAATTAGATTATATAATTCATAATTTGCGGTCACGCGCACAATTAGGCCTGGCGGTGAAAAGCGTAAGGGATTTCGAGATGTACAAATGCAAACTTTCTAGTTGACTTCTTTGAATTATTGCAGCATTTTTCTTTTTCTTTTTACGAGAAAAACACGGTTAAACCAGCTATAGCTTGCGCTTTCCAAACGCAATCAAGACTTTAGACAATTCCTTCACAACAGGGTCTCTTTTCCGTCAGATAGATAGCTTCTAGCTCTATGTGTCATGCAGCAATATAGTTTCTACGCATAGTTATCTGTACATGTGAAATTAACTCTTGATAATGGTGCGTGGCACCCCGAACCACAGGTTTTTGTAGTTCAATGTAAAAAGTAATCCTGCTAATTTCTTTCTATATCGAGCTATTGGTGTAACCTTCTTTGGTAGGATGGTCTGACACGATAAACTGATGAATCTTGTAATGGGCTAATTATTCATTTGTTGACGGATTCATTAATTTGCATTCGAGCTTATGCATTTCGTTTCCAGTTAGCCTCCATTCATAAATCCAACGTTCCTCCTGTATTAAGGCCACTGCGCAAGTCATGTAAGTTACTCTTTCTTTTAATAAAGCCACTTCTTACACCTCCAAGACTTATGCGTTATTTCTTGTGAACTATACCTGCGGCTGAGATGTTTTGACGAAGTTGCTGACTTGTTCGCGAGATCTCTTTTCCTTCTAGGGTCATGTCACCACACGTCACCTCAACATTCTCCACCGTGCAGCCGTAGTCGGCCTGGCAAAAGCCGGGTAGAATTTGGTCGAGTTGTTGGAACCTTGCCACGAAGTCTGCAGCGATCTGTGCCTTCGCGTTTTCGTCTAGCTGGCAATCACCGATGTAAAACTGGTCTCCAGACAGTACATCGGCTCTGAGATCTCGCATTTCTAATCAAAAATTCAGAAAAAGGGCCATTTCATATAATGTAACTAATGTGCTGAAGAAATGTCGAAATGTCTTTATGCATGTTTCTCATCCAATAACATTAAGAATCAAATTTAACCATACTATTCGATAAAAATATTTCGAAAGAATTGCTTACTTCTCTGTATTATTTAGACATTTAAATCGATAAACGTTCATGTCTACAAACATTTAATAAAATGTTCTCGTCGACATTTTCAGAGAATCATCTTTTACAGAAAACTGTTAAAACCATTTCTCGGCGAAACGAACCTTTTACATAAGGCAGTTTGATGGATTTGTTTACCACAATAATGTCAACTTTAAAGAAATTTATTTCTATTCATAATTACTTTCTGTGTTGGAAAGTCGAATAAATTTTTTATAAACTCCCAAACAGGTTTGTTACGTTTTTCCGAGAAAAGATGATAAATTAAAACGAACCTGTGCAATCCGGCCAAGGAACCCTGAATTCAGCAGGATCGTCAAAAGAGAGAGGAGACTGTGCCCACTGGGCCGAGCTGCCACAGAAGTATTCTGTTGCAGGTTTCCGGTTGAAATCAAAGTTCTCATTGCAGGCCACTCGACAGAACTGACCTCCTAACCAAGTTTCGCAGGCCAATGCACCGTTCAGTGGCGGAGGGAAGTAGGGACATAGATACTCTGTTGGAAAAAGAAAACAGGTCTTTACGAGCGTTTAATGAATTGGGATAGGACATGGCCAGTCTGATGGATTCATAGTTCATTTCAGTGTTTCAATATTAATCAGCAGAGCGATAAAATTGTTAACGCTTGTATGTCATAAAAAGTATAAGCCGTGTGAACTGTAAGGTGGTCTTTCCGGTATTATATCAGCCGGGAGGGCGAACGGGGAGGCAGGCAGGCAGCCAGCTCTCCCGCCCTGGTTAGTTTTTTTTATGCAGTAGTTTGAAGTAAACCAGAGGACAAACGCTTACGTCTTACTACGACCGTGAAGTTACAAAATGCTGTGTTTCCTGCCCCATCTTCAGCTCTGTACCAAATAAGCTCAGGCGGGCCGTAGGAAAAGTGAGACCCGGGCACTCGGTTGAATGTTGTTTGAATTGGCTCTCCAGAGTTGTCCTTGAAGGTAGGCACCGTCCAGTTGACGCTTGTTTGTCTTTCGTTGCTCTCAATCTTGATGTTGTCAGGGCAATAGATGTTCCTCGGTGCCTCCTGGTCTGGACAGAACAAAATGTTTCACAAATGACATCAACTACGTTGTTTGAAAAGGAAAGTGTGGAGCAGGAATGAGAAGGACCTTGCTGAGAGGACACGTTCGTTCGAAGCTGATTTAGCATCAAAATGTGCTTGTTGAAGTGAAGTAGCCAGTGCTCGAAGATATAACAGCAGTTAACACGAATCGAGCAACGCCTAACACGCAGAAAGCTGTTGCAATATTTTCAAAGTAGACACAACCCGTACCACACATCAAAGGTGAGCGACTCAGTGCAGTGCCTCAGAGCACCATGTGGGAGGTAAATCCAGGGACGAGGTTGAGACTCAACTTACCCACACAGGTAGCTTCTTCCCCAGCTTGAGACCAATTACCACTGGCTTCGCACATCCTGAATGCAGGACCCTGCAGTCGGTATCCTTCTTTGCACTTGAAAAGGCAGGTAGAGTTCACCGGTCGCCTTGTGGTGCAATTTAAGGGTCGCATTGAGCCGTGGCGCAACGGGAGCAACGCCGGGCAGGTAACGGCTAAGAAGTGAGCCCAAAAATGCCAGTCGTTTACCAGTCATTAGAAACTCAAACGTATAAAGTGAAATAAAAAAAGCACTTAATTTGTGGCGAAGCTTAAAAAATGATTTTGAAAAGAATTGCTTTCGAGGAAAATGATTTTCCAGAGTACTTCAGACATGAACTTTTTGCAGATAACAAGTATAATCTTCCTAGAGTCTTGCAGTTAAATTGAAAAAAAAAACCAGCGATGTTTTCAATGCGGGGAATCTAACAAAATTAATTGCTACCAGATTGTACTTCACAGTTTCCTTTATAATTCCTCTTGCATGTTTGACACATTTGGCTCTTCACTTTCAAATACACAAGACGCAGTCAGGGATCCCGTAGGCCCACGTGTTTCCTGGAAACTCGTGGTACAGCTGCATAATGCCAGAGCAAGGGTAAAAGTTAGAGTCCATTTTTCTGGCTCTGCTAATGCGACATGTGCCTGTGTAACATCAATCAGTTGCAGTGGAAAGTTTTTACGCCAACTTAGTTGACGGGCTGTGGAATCTTCATGGCATGTGAGCGCGGGTTTCTCTAATCCAGCTGAATTGTGAAAAAAGGATACCGGTTGGGAATTATTATTGCGAATGTGCGAAGCTTGAGAACTGTCTTTTCGTGCGTTCGACGCCTTGTCATCCAACAGGATCGCTTACTTGTTTCCGAAATCTCCTCTTCCCCTTGAGTTGTGTCACCACACATCACACTAACATTCTCCACTGAGCAACTTGTGTCGGCCGAGCAAAAGCCAGGTATGATTCGATTGAGTTCCTGGAACCTTGCCACAAAATCTGCAGCAATCTGCACCCTAGCATTATTATCCAGCTGGCAATCACCAACATAGAACTGGGCATGGTGTGTTGCCTCTACTGTGGGATCTCTCATTTCTAATGCAAAATGCCGGGCATAGAAAGTAAAAAACTCCTTTTACAAATGTGTTATGTATGACAGTGATAATGCTTAAGAAAGAAACGCTACCCCCCCTCTCCCTGATACTCATTTTCGACTGAGAACCATCTTGTGCCTTAAAAGATGAATAACTTTATTATTTCAATTTGCATGTTGTAGTTGCACAAAAGGAAATGGTTACAGGTGAAAGACAGCGTTTAAAATATTTCAGAAAGCTCAAAACATGGCTTCATGATTTTGAGCACCCTTATCCTTCAAACAAATCTCAAAATCAGAAAAACAATATCCCAAATGTATCGGCGACAAAATGTGCCATCTCATTTTTTCCTTTTTGTAGCTCAAAGACCTGCCATCGTCACTGCATTTGGTGAAACTAAACAATTTCATGTCAGTCTTTGAACTCCAAACTGTTCCACATAAATTTACCTGGAGGTAATAGTATACAGCCCCAAAGGGACATCCCAATGTTAAGTCTTTTTTGTTATCTGGTGTGCTTGCAAAATAAATTTAAAAACTCAAACAAATTGAAACACTTAAAGAGAAAATAAGACATTAAATTCACAAACAGGTTGTCACGTTTCACCGGAAAAGACGATATTAAATGAAAACGAACCTGTGCAATCTGGCCAAGGAACCCTGAATTCAGCAGGATCGTCAAAAGAGAGTGGCGACGGTGCCCACTGGGCCGAGTTGTCACAGAAGTATTCTGTTGCAGGTTTCCGGTTGAAATCAAAATTCTCATTACAAGCCACTCGACAGAACTGACCCCCTAACCAAGTGTCGCAAACCAATGCACCGTTCAATGGCGGAGGGAAGTCGGGACATGGATACTCTGTGGAAAAAAGAAGACCAGGCACCGTCTAGTTGACGCTTGTTTGGCTTCACTTCTCTCAACGTTGATGTTTCAGGACAGTAGATGATTTTTGGTGGCTCTCGGTCTGGGCATAAAGTTTCCGAGTCGAAATGTTTTTGTTTAGTAAAAGACAAAACTGAGTGACTGGATTAAACGTATTCGCTATCAACAACAAAGCAGAATGGAAATTTGTATTGTGTATAACAAATATGTAAGAAAGCGCTACATTCTCTGGCCAGATTGCGGCGTAACTACTCGGGGCCATACGGGGCACTTGTAAACAAGGCCTTTTGTGTTTTTTGCCTACCACTGGGTCAACAAGCCCTGATTACAAATCTGCAAGGGGTTGGTTTCCCCAGATAAGTCATTGAACCTGGATCAAGCCCCCCACACAGAGGCATACACTTGTTCCTGAAATTGGAGGATGGGGAAAGGTGGGGGAATGACTTGACCAGCCATGAAAATTTGTAAAGTGGGGGAGGGAACCATATGATTTGATGTAGAGGTGGATGCTCGTGATATGATGTTTATGTGTAATTATGTATTCTAAGATGGTGAATTTATGGCCTTTTAAATCATTTTCCCTTTTTGAGTGTTATTGAATTCATTTTGTAAGTCTGTTGTAAGTCTGCAACATTCTCTACAATTGGCTTCAATTTTTGGCTCACTGCCAAAAAGTGTAGTGGATGATTCAATAGCCCATTCCCCAACTAGTTGGGGGAATAGCACCCATCCCTTGGGATCTACTCCTTTGCCCCCACCCCAACTTGAATTTTAAAAATGTAGCCCAATCATGACAATACAACCAGTGACAACCATATTAATAGTTTCACATTGTAAGCTTAGCATAGACCTAATTTGTTACATTGTTTGTTTTCATTGCCCCCTTGCTTGGAAGAATATGTGTATCCCCGACTATTGCTCAGAACAGGCACTATATCCAGAGTTAGTTATGGACCCCTACCTGGCCTAGGACTCGTAGATGTATTGCACTGCTACTTCTTACTAGAAGTGCAAAGTAGAAGTATAATTATACTCGGTTCCTATATTGTCGCGGTAACTCTATTATCGCGGTATTAATCTTGAATTTTAATCGTCTGAGTGACTAACACCTTTAAAGTACAAGAAACACGAGCTGATCTTTGAAGTTTACCGTCGCACTGGAGAGGAGTATCAGACCACTGGCCACTGGCTAAACACATCAACTGATCTGCGGTACCAGGCTGTGGTCTGTAGTTGGGCAGGCATTGCATACGGCATTCGGTACCGTAGAGATTGCCACAGTTCGGCGGAACGAGTAGAACGCCGGATGACTCAGGGAAACTCAGTTGTTGGCATGTAATTGCTAGATGTGGAACACATTGGACGAGTTAACGCAGGTTATATTCAGGCATTAGTGCTAATTTTAAGAGAAAATTTCAGCCTATTATGAATAATAAATATGAACCATTATGAATAACAATATTACAAAGAAAACTCCTGGCTGTCGGCCAATTGTCAACTAAATCAATTTATTTGTCAACACGAAAGGAACTGGTTAACACGATATTCCTTCAGAATCATTTATTCCACTTGATTTATTATTTATTTGATTTCAAGTCAATTCCGAACGCCAATTATCATGTTTCTGACAGTTGTGCTAGGTTTGGGTTTGTGTTGGGTTGGTTTGATTAGTCTTGTTTTCTTTTAATGCAAAACACAAGCCTTTTCTACTATTTCTTTGAGCACAAAGGGACTGCATAAGAACGAAAACTGTATAACGTACCTTTCATAGCGAAGCTTTGCTTTAAAGGTTATGTTAGAATAGATTTAATAAGGCATTGAGGTCTTGCCATCTTAAGTTGTTTTTCCTTGTGTGTTACTCACGCGTGCAAGGGACCTGCGTGCTGGGGGAGCCTCGATGCCCTGGCAGACACTCGCAGGCATTGAGGGATGTACTGCCCTCTGCCGCTGTGGTGGAGAGAGTGGGGCAGCTGGCGCAAGCCTGGTTGCCGTACTGTGATTTGAAGGTACCACGGGGACATGCTGTTAGGGAAACACAGGTCTAGGATGTCAAAAAGATCTGAAATAGGAGATTTACGAACTGATTCATTCAATGATGGAGGGTGTATATTTCAAGAAAAAAATTTCTCTTCACCCGACCAATTGGTGAAGGCCACCCAATATGGTGGCAATAAAAAGAAGTAGCAACATACAGAAAAGATGGAATTTACATTTATTGTGATGCGTTGTAAGAAGAGAAGGGGGTAAACATTTCAGTAGCAAATGCCGAGATTACGTAGTACAAGTAATTAAAACAGTTTTCGCTCAACACTGCTCAAGAAACACACTCATCGTTTTTAACATTTTGTTTTCCACTTAGGCCTCATTACCTGTGCATTGATTTAGTCTCCCATCACCAGTGTACCCAGGATGACAGGCGCATCCGTAGATTCCGATTCGTGTTGCGCATGAGCAGGTGGCACGTGAGTCGCAGCAGTTACTTCCCCGGCAGAGCGAGTTGCAAAGGTCAGAGGGTACGTTGTGATCCCATGATGCCGTATCTACCTGATCTGGAAAGATTGGGGAAAGCCGACGTCAAACAAATCACCCAAGAGAATGACGCACCCGTCTTTAGTTTTTCAATGGTTGCTGTCCAGCATTTAAACCCACCTCCGATCACTTTCTCGGCCAGGGTCTCGACATCCGTCAGGTGAGTCAACAGGAACACGTGATCGCTGCTTGGAGACGTCGCAATGCCATTCAGCTCATCAACGTTGATGCCGTCGCCCAACCCGATGGCGAAGACTGTAGCTATGTTCCGCAGTTCAGCAGCAACTGTAAGCGGAGACCCACCGTCATTGGATTGGCCGGCAATCAGGAGAAAGACAATCCTTCAAGGGGGTTGGAAATACAAGAGACAAAGGAAGTAGAAATCGAATCTTCCACGGTTTGCGATACAGAAAGATGGTTGGAAATGTCAAAGTGGCATTTTTAACATTTGTTTTGGTTCAAGAGGACCCGATTTTTTTCTCTCTACAGGGAGGAACCGAAAGGCTCTTTACACGTGTTCGCTTAATTTACGAGAGATGTTCAGCCTGCCAAACAGCAAGTACGTGTTAGGTCAGAATGCTCTTGTTATCGATACATTAATTTGTTTGTTGCATTTTGTCGATAGAGGGCGCCGTTCAACGGGCACGTTATCTGGCAATTCGCGCTTGGGGAGTCGCAATATTAGTCTCAGAGCGTACACATCATCCCAAAGTCGTAAGTGGAATCTGTTCAATGCATTATTTAGATTTCCTTTATTCGGTTCTTATGGGTTTTCTTTGGGTACTTTTGGATAGTTTTGTGTATTTAATGTGGTAGAAAATACAACAAAAACAGACAATTTACAAAGTTGTGGCTGTGAGCACATGTCAAGGTAAAGGGTTTTATTGCATTTAATCGGGCATCATGCACATGTACGCCTACACACAAGGTTATTATCATCGACCCAGTTGTTTTTTGTGATTAGTTATGATTTAATTTGCTAAATAAAGTGCCGTTGTCGATTCGTGTTGGTAATTTAGAACTGTTTAAAGTCGATTTCTGTACTTTTGTGGACAGATTAAACCACCAGTCCACGTATTCAGGAATGCACGAGCTTGTATGTACATCCGTCACTCCGTCATAGCACGGAATGGCACGACGAAAAAAAGCTGTCAGTTTGAATGGTCTTCTGTCGTCCTTGCCGTCGACTTGGACACCCGGTCGAAGCAATCATAGCGTGCACTTTGCCATGCATTAGACTGGTTGACCTCTTTAGTCGTCCTGCTGTAATCCAATACAGTAATCGGCGCATGACCCTTTTCAGTGGTTTGCAGTTTGTCTTAATATGATTGGACAGAAAAAGGACGATTCACTGAAGACGTAATGAGTGGTTTACGTGTGTAGTGGGAGGGAGTTGTTAGTGGGGGCGTGTTTAAGATTCCTTGTCGGGGGGTACCAAAACATTAAGAACTACCCTATCAGAAAACATTCACGAAATAGATGTTCGGAACTTACTCCAAAGCGAGGAGTTTTTCGAAGTCAGAAATGACATTTTGTCAAAATTTCAACACATGCCAAGAAGGTATTCTACTTTAAACGAGATCTATTTCAAAACTGCACTTTGCGCACTAATCTTTTATTAGTACGTGAGAACCAGACAAAAAATACATTTACAGCGGGATACAAAATGTGTGTGGTGGGATGGATGTATAGCCTTCCCTGTGTCAAGAAGTTTCTGTTGTAAAGACGGTTGACGTTGTATCGACAATCCTTTGTCCATACCGGTAGCTTTTTTGGCACCCATAACATCTGTATTTTTTGAAGACGTGCCTTGTCCCCATGTAAGTTTCACATTGCAAAGCAGTTGCCACAAATTTTGAATTACACGACCGTCATTGATTCCCATTGGTATAAAACTGGCATCTATTGAAATGCGAACGATACCAGTGCAGAGCAGCGCAGTTGAAAGTCAAAACATAGCTTGGCATTTAACAGGAAGTAATGCTTTGACACACATCGACTTTTCTGTTTATCTCCGTTTTTCAACCAGGTGTACTTTAACAAGTAGCGTTTCTTTGACTTGGGCTGGCTTCTAAGGTTTGGAATTCACCATTGTAAATTCAGTGACGCGATTGCAACATGGCTATCATTATAGTCATCAGAATGCTGTGTATGCAGTGAATGTTGGTCCCGGTTTGCTTTGATTGTTAAATGCTAGGGCTATAAAGAGTAAGTTTCAAAGCTAGGTGTCTATTGTGTGGATCTCTTGGCATGTTATGTGCTCGCTCTGTGTATGAAATAAGGAGCACAGTTTTCCTTGAGGACACATTGTGACTGTATGGACACACCCAGAGAACGTCCAGGCTTATGGGGTCTAAGTGTTTGCATTTTACTTTGGTTCTGCATGTAAGTTCTTTACTTATTTTCTTAAACCTTGGGTCCTTGCCAGCCATTCCTATTTTTCTATCTCGTATGTTTCTTGTACATGTACATGTGACTTGGCTCAATTATGGTGGTTCTTTTCGTGGTTAAGAGATGACCTTTTTCACATTCGATGAAGGGCAGCATGCGTAAGGGTTAGTTAAGCTTGGTGTAACCTTTGTGAGTCAGGGCTCAGCTAATTTCGTTGCAACCTGCGTCATATAGGAAAGAACTGTATTTTTATATTTCCATATGTCCAATTATAAGTGGAAGTATGTATGTCCATGTTTCCATATTGTGATTGTAAACATTACTTGACTATATTAAATTAATTGTAATTATTTTAAATTGTTTCGAAATATAATTTTGACGTCAGTATTCATGACCAAATTTACGACTCGTATCTCTGGTCGTATCTATCACCTCGATTTTTTTCAGGCGGAAATGAAGAGTGCTCGCGCGCATGCACAGTGACCTACCTTTGCCGATCGTTCGGTTGGGCGATTTTGGCACAAGGCCTACATGATTTAGATACATTTTCGGCGTGATTGTGTCATATCGGTGACGCGTGGTCAGTTGTGCAGTGGTGGTTGTGTCCATGCTATTATCGCCGTGGCTATGGAAAGACAGGTAGGCCTATGTCTAAAGCTGTTTTATGAATTCAGATGTAGTCTCCCTGGCATGATGGAAACAATGCGGGGCAATATTTGCGACCGGAGGTACAGCGACTCACGAATTTGGTCGTGAATATTGACGTCAGTATTTGCTCCCGGAGAGCGGGTCGTGAATTTTGGTTGTAAATAATGGCTTCAATATCGACGATTTGTGATGACCCTCCAGGGCCACCTTAGCTAACGCTTAATACGCAATGTGCAATAAGCCGTAGGGTAGCAACACATTCTGAGTACACACGCATAGTATAGCAGCATTTTGAGATACAGAAGTTTTTGTTAACAGCACCGCCTCGGTTGTAGGCCTATATACATATACGTGGACGGGAAAATGGCTTCTTTGTCGTGGTTCGTATGCATGCGTCTCACTCTTAGGGACATCCAACGGGGGCACAGGGGCAAGTTGGGGTTGGGGACTCCTTTACGGATGAGAAAAACTGAAGCAGTTTTGGGAAAAAAGCCCCCCACCACCACCACCACCAAAAAATGAATAAAGATACCTATTTGCAAAACCTTGATCAAAATATTTATGTTTATTTTGTGTCCGAAGCCAAGCGTAGTTTCAGAAGCTTACTTTTGTGTTGACGGCCGAGAAGCCACAAGAAGACTGTGGGCTCTACGGAGTGCGTATGCGGTACACCTACCCCCACCTCGGTAGTAAACCCGCGGTAGATCAGTGCCAAGCAGCGTGCATTTGTTCTTACCGACCGGGGAGTTGATGTAGTCCAGATCGGTGTAGATCTTATTGCAGCTCGAGTAGGTCACCACCGCCACACGCGACGTCTCTGGAGACACACTGAACAGCTTAGAGAAGTGCCGGACAAACTGCACCTCGCAGCCGAAGTTACCTGACCCCACGCTGCCTGAGGAGTCGAGGACAAAGACGATCTCGACCGGCCGGTTCTGGTACCTCTCCAGGATTTGGACGAATTTCCTGCTAGTCTCACGGATCTCCAGGCGGTTTTGCTCGGTATCTGTCGCGGTCCGAGGACATTCTGGGTATATTTGCGCTTTGATCGTGGGGCAAAGCATCCAAGAAATTGCCAGGAGAAATAATATGCCCAGTGCCAGAGGAGGGTTCATTTTTATTTTAATTTGCTCCTCTTGTTTCGAGTCGATGAAGATCAAGCCTATTAGCTTCTAGACTGCTTGGACGTCGGCTACAAGGCTACAGCTCGTTCCCACGAGACTGCTGTGTTAAGTAAGTGGCGTACAAAAGAAAGAACGACTGGTCAGGAAACGTACATGTTATCTCCAGTACGAGGCATGAAATGATGTTCGATGTATTTTTGTCAGGTGAACCAAACCAGGAAATATTTGACACAAAGCAGACCTCGTACGGATGTGCATGTATGCAGGCAAAAAGCCGCGATCCCCGGGACTCCAATTTGAACTTGGCACCTTTCCCAGCAGGATTTTTCTCGGGCCTGCGTGCAGAAGGCCGCATCCGTTCCTCCCTTATCTTTCAAAAACAGTTTCTGATCACGTGGTTCCCACATCGGCTGACTGCCAGCAAATGACAAAGATTGTGTTGTTTCTATGTTATTGTATGCATTTATTTTAACAGATGGAAAAGATTTGGTTTGGCTTCGTCTTGGCTTCCGTTCACTGCTTGGAAGTTCTTAGCAACGCCTTTGAATTTGCCAATGTGTGCTAACAGTTCAAATTAAAGGGTTATGAATGTAAAGTTTCGACTGAAAAGTAACTAGGCAAATTGGAATGAAAGCATACTGCTGGGTTGTCCTGTACTTTGTACGCCATTTTATTTTTGTATACTCAACCTTCAGGATGACTTTAATAAGACAGCCCACCGCTGCCACCAATTGTAAATACGCTGTACTGATGTCAGGAGTGATATCAAAGATGTACATACTTATTATGAACAACCTCCCTGGTGCCATGGGGGGTGTCAGCACCCCCGTTCAGGTTTCTGCAGATGAGTAATTTTCTATTTCCGTCATCTCCCACCCCATCTGCCCCACCCCCAAGAGAAATTGACGCCAGTGGCTGTAGACTTGGCCCTATTCATTTTTAAGTCCTGTCCGGCTTGGAAAGAGTATATCTCCTAAATAAATTGGAAAAAATATACTCCATAAAAATGTGTACTCTACGGCACCTCTTGGGCATTCGTATAGCTTTGATATCATGGTTGGTCATATTCTGCTGCAGCTTCGGCCTATAGCTAAGCATACAAAAGAGCCAAACACTCGTCCAAAATTGGAACATATTTTCGTGCAGTCCTGTTACCACGCTATTTGTTTCTGGTACATGCGGCTTGCAGGCTTTGTACTGTAGATAGCTTTGTACCTTTTTGTTCTACCAACTAGGGCTTTGAGCAACTCATGCAGAGGGAATAAGATTTATATCTGTAGTGGGACATCTCATTGACGACTGGGAGGGAGGATTAATAAAGAACAAAAAAGTTCGACAAAATTCAATAAATTGATAATTGCTTCATTTTAATCATTATTATCGGCACGTTTGAACTTCTTACAGAATATAAGCACAGGCAACTTTTACAACTGATTTTAATACGGTTTTTCCTCACGTAACGGCAGAATCTTTGAAACTTTGCGTTCGGTAAAATGCCCTGTATATCATTTAACACATACTCGTTCTTTTCCTTGTCACGTAGTGTGAAAGTAACAAATTCTGTTATGCCATCGGGAACAGTTTGGCGCAACGAGATTCCATTATGGGGGAAACAAACTGCGAGACGTCCAGAGAGCAGATAACCTATGAAATTCACATCACCCTATTTCATGTTCCGACTCTTCACCCACCTTTGGTAAGACATTTAATTGTTTGTATATACTTCCTATAAGTTTGACATCATTTTTTTTTCAAAATCGTTAACATGTTGCAAGCATTTCGTTTTATAGCCATTACCTTTAAAGTTACCAACTAAATACAAGGTTGCTAGCAAATATTTCGATTTACTGATGATTTAATCTCTCGTTACTCAGTACACTGGATATTTCCAAAGTAGACATCCACTTCCAATTTTCCTGAAAGGTATTTCACTCTTGCATGAACTTACTGACCCAGAAACAGTGACTCTGTCATTGGAATAATCATGGAGGTCGCGAGGGGCAAGAGGGCATTTTTCAGGTGGTCAATGGAAATCACACAAACAAGAAAATAGGGAAAGGAAAAAGGACCGAGAAAGCAGAGTGATAACGAAGTGAAAATCACAAGTTTTGCGTGAAAACAAACAACGAAATCCCCCAAAACAGGAGTTGCCCCCTTTCATCGTTGACGCTTTGTCGGTTTGCACTGTTCCCTGGAATGAACTTTAGTTTTAGTGGCGAAGCCCATGAAAATAACGAACTTTCAAACATTTGTACGAGAGATTCTGACAGTTAAGATTACTCCAGTCATAAACCAAATGACCTGTATTATTTTGCTTATTTTCCATCATACGGGGAAATATTTAAGCCTGTGTTTATGCGGTTTTTCGGTTCAAAGGGAATATTTTGTATCCTGTTATAAAACTTGTCCTGCACTGCAGGGTGAAGGTCTGAATATGTCTATACTCGCACCCTAGTTCACTTGCTTAAGTTTTAACAGCTAGTAATTCACAGAGGGTGAGAAGGATTTGGCGCGAGAAAAAGAACCCTGCATCATCACACAGATATAAAGTTTGATTGAAAGATTAAATTCTTTTCTTTTAAGAACAAACGCTGTAACTTTCTCGAACCAAGTAACGGATGTTTCAGAACCATGCAGGTTTTAGTCCAGCAAAAAAGTTAATTCATACAATAAGGTAAATTATACGAGCTTTCTCCTTTCGTAAGTCATTTTATTGTATAAAACTTGAATCATAAGGTCATGATGTCTCCGCATGTGTAATACCTGTTGGTGCCATCATACCGCTTCCTATTTGTTGTAACGGTGATCCGGTGTGTGCTCTTCGCAGCTGGGTATCTGTTTGATGATGACACATAATGTGGTTATTAGCGAAGTCTTCACTGTAGTGAATGATGGGGCAAATCTGTTGGAACCAGTGCCGAAAACCAGCTCTTAGGGGGTCACACTGAGAAGAAGGATTTGCAGTGCACTTAGTGCTGTTAAGGATGGAGAACGATTTAACTTCTAAATATAATGATAGGAATGTGACCCGTGTTTTCATACACTATTTTGGTCATCAAAGCTTTTTATTAGGGGCTTAACGGGTCGCCAATCCCATTAAATATTGAAAACGGAGGTTAATTTGCCAAATCTAATAAGACGGAATATGGGAGATTTATACCAACTTCCATATCTATGGGTGATCCTTTGGGTTGCAAATCTCCTTGCAATCCAGCCAAGAAGTCTGGCCATGCAACCACGTTTCCTCTCTCCCGGTGGCAGCTGTGGGCTAGGGCTTGGATAGCGTCCTCGGGCAGAACATGGTCCCAGATATTCAGCCTTCAAGAAACATTTCCAAACAAACGAATCATATGTAAAGTACACAAAGTTTAGCATGTCAGAAACAAAATCTGAGTCAATGTGTACTAAAGCTTTGTTGCTCAACCAACCATGTCCATGTACCACACCAGGTGGTAGCACCGTTCAAGGTGGCAAAAGTCTCACGGTTGCCAGTTGTTATGTGCTTCATCGCCGTCAAATCAAAAATATCTACAACCTTCCCTCCAATAACTAGCCTTATATTTACTAAAAAGGAAGATGCCATTTAACTGATTGCTCCTGCCAAGTTACGTCACGTGATACCCACAATAAGTCACGTGACTTAGCTGGTGCAATTGGTCTATTTAAACCAATGCTTTTCCCAAGCTAAAGGGTTCTACATTTGTTAATCAAGTTTCCTGAAATTCGGTATTGGCAGCAATACCATTTGGCTCTACATTAAGCATTTATGCCCATTTTTGGTAAAAACCAAAATATTTCTCAACGTACTCTTTCAAACAATGTTAGCAACTGTCGCCCATGTTAGACTGTTAGCATGTGTTTCAGGAGGTCCTGTGGCTGTCTGTATTAGTTAAGATGTTGCCACCTCAGTTGGTACCAGTGCATGGAATTTCGAGTCATAGCCCCTGAATTAACGCCAGAATAAATCAGTTCATGGAGGTTAACGAGAATCTTGAAGAGCTTTCTAAGGATACCCATGAAGGAAACTTTTAGGAAAGCAAATAAAGTACATGTTGTTTACTGTGTTGTAGAGATACATATATCCGGTTTGGGGGAGGGCCGGGTCTTCTACACCTGTTCGTTTAAATTCCGTCCCTTAAGAACCACTCCCTTTTTAATATTATCATAATACCCATCGTACTTGTATATTTCACCCAGATAAGTCTCCCTGGTGTTGAAGGCTCCCCCGATGGAGTCTTGCTCCTGGCCAAGAACAAACACACCTTGGCCCGGTATGGCTTCGGTGCGAAGCGTAGCCCCGCTGTTAGCTTCCGTGCCATTCACGTACAAGTGCCACTCACCACCTAGGGTTGGAGGAAGGGTACAAATTGAAATTCGATTTCCGAAAACAAGCCCGAAAATCTTGTGAGCAGACCGGAAGATTTATGATGTCGGAAAAGATAAAATTGTAATATAGAGATGATTTTTTTTCTAGTCATAAATAAATTTGGATTCACAGCAAGTTATTTGGAAGTGTTTTTAATCGACAATGAGTAAATTCCCCTCGAAAATATAAAGCATTATGTGACCCACTTTCACAAAGATCATAGTCAGGGCAAACGAACCAATTTTTTAGGCTACAATTTTCGCACAGGTCTAATAAATGGAGGACAAAATAACTCGCATGTTGATCCTCATTTAGGACAGCTGAATGCAGTCGTGTAAGAAACACAGTGGACTTTGTGCAGGCATAAACGTCCACCTACGGAAGCCGCGCACAGCCAACTGAATTTTCATGGACGCGTGTGACGCTTCCACGATGCATCCTGTGATGTCTAGTGTCTAGTCTGAGAATTAAATCCACAAAATCGGGTGAGAGCAGCTGCTGCACGCCAGCTACAAACACAGAAATTGGGAAGTGGTATTAGAAGGGCCCACTGACTGTCTCAGCCCCTCTTGATCCGTCGCTTACCTGCACCGCGCCAGGTAAACACTAGGCTGGTCCAGCGCCCGTTGTTGATGGCCACGTCTGTGAAGATCGTCACTCCGTTCACGTAGATCCTGAGCGAGGCGCAATCTGTCACGGTCAGTGTGTTGTCGACTAAGCTGCCAGGGCTGCTTCCAGAGGCCGCACTATAAAAAAAATATTATTATTATCTTTGTAGGAAGTAATGCCCCAGAATTATTGCTGATGCCATAAATTAGAAATAATTAGAGCACAGGGTTTGAGTTCTGGAGATAAGGGTTTATATCCCGTTTCACTCGATATTTGTGTTCCTCTTTTAAGTTGTGTTTCATAAGTACCTATCAATACTTCCCCCATGAAGTACATTAGTTAACGTAGATTATTTTTTATAATGACCGCCGAACGAGAGTGTTATCGGCCACTGTCTTATTCGTTACTCACTTGTCTGCCGGCTTCATGGCGGCGTACGAAATAGGGGTTCCCATATTTGTCGAATCAGTGGTGCGAAGCCACATCGAAAGGGTAATTTCTTGGAACTCGGAATGTCTGGTCCGTAGGAGGGAAAATTCTGACGTCCTAGAGTTGGTGAAATCGAGCAGGAATTCCTGAGACATTTCTGTTCAGAGCAAAGAGAAATAGTTCAGGAACTGGTACAGGTCTGGGTGTCAGGGTTTGGCGCAAATAAGAAGGCACCAAGGTTAAGTGGATGTAGATTGACACATGGTGCAGGCCCATCATCGGGCACAAGACAAGGGCCTAGCTTTTCGTGACTCTCCACGCGTTCACGATTATTCCTTCAATATACCCCGTACATGTATATCCAGGCATAAACGTCCACCTACGGAAGCCGCGCACAGCCAACTGAATTTTCATGGACGCGTGTGACGCTTCCACGATGCATCCTGTGATGTCTAGTGTCTAGTCTGAGAATTAAATCCACAAAATCGGGTGAGATTTTGGTCCGTAGGAGGGAAAATTCTGACGTCCTAGAGTTGGTGAAATCGAGCAGGAATTCCTGAGACATTTCTGTTCAGAGCAAAGAGAAATAGTTCAGGAACTGGTACAGGTCTGGGTGTCAGGGTTTGGCGCAAATAAGAAGGCACCAAGGTTAAGTGGATGTAGATTGACACATGGTGCAGGCCCATCATCGGGCACAAGACAAGGGCCTAGCTTTTCGTGACTCTCCACGCGTTCACGATTATTCCTTCAATATACCCCGTACATGTATATCCACAGGACGGCGAGATAACGGGCCACTGAAGCAAGTCCATCAATGACTTCAAATGTCACTGTGACCTATGGAATATACAGATTCTAAACTGCACGGAGAAGAAATTTACGAGCAAGCCTGACATAGGCTAGCAGAGAAGTCGTGTGCCTACAAAGGGACAACGCGAAGACATGGTTGGGTCTTCTCTGGTGATCGATTGATTGACAGTTTGTGGATTTAGGCCGTGTCCGAAACGGGCTTCCAGAGCTATGGCTAAGTCTATTGTCTACACGTCTCCACACATTTCCAATGGAGCAAAGACCCAGACCTAGCTCTAGACAACAGATTCGGATGCAGCCTTACATGTAGTAGGTGAATCATGTCAGATATGTAGAACCTGTTAAGATATATGTTACATCGAGCCTGGAGCAGGAAGCTAGAGCATGGATTGTTCGGTGACATTAAGATGTACATTAAGTTTGTACATTTGTTGTCAATTATGCTCTTGACAAAAACTCCTTACCCGTCTCACAGAGCTGGCCCGTGACACCTGGCGGGCACAGGCATTGGTAGCCTGCAATGACGTCACGGCAGCTGGAACCATTGGCACACGCATGGTCTTGGCACTCATCGATGTTCACCTCACAATGTGTCCCCTCAAACCCAGGCTGACATGCGCACTGATAGCTCCCGGGTGTGTTTTCACAACTATACATGGCAGAAGGATATCCAGTTTTTGTGATGCACATAAGTGTAAACAATATAAAATTCATTGGAGATTATTTCTCTCAGTACCTGCAGGTTTTTCTGTCTGGTGAGTAAAATGGGAGGAATGTTAAGATTCAACTCAAGTTGTACGCCGCACCATTCTTGGCTACAATCAGGATTAAGATTTTAAGCAATAGGCAAGTTGTAAATCTTGTATCAAAAATGTCTTCCACAGGAAATCGTTATGCACGGAGTTGTGCAAGATTGTCGAAGATGGTTTGATGTCGAATTGCTACCTTCCGCCATTTTGGCATGGTTGAAGGTCGCACTCGTTCACGTCCGTCTGGCATCGGAGTCCCTTGAACCCAGACTGACAGAGGCACTGGAAAGAACCAGGCGTCTCGATGCAGAATCCTCCGTTCAGACAGGCTTGGCCGGCGCAAGGATCCGGTCGGTTTTCGCACAACGGTCCCCAAAACCCGTCCACGCAGTTACACTCAAAACCGTTCACCTGCAAATAACAGATTCCAAAAAGGGATTGCATGCTGCAAAGTATTACTTGTGGACGCAGTGGGGGAAAGAGCTAATACTGGAAGGACGCATTTTTTCTTTCTTTGCCACACCTTAGTGGCGTATTCTGGATACCGAGCAGGGGCAAGTTCCTCCCTGGAGACTTGTTGCCATTATTTAACCACTTCAAAACGCCATGACAGCGTTTTAGAGAAGGCACTACCACCCTTCTTGGGGGATGGGCATTCTTTCCAGATGAAACATATTGGATGGATGTTTTGAGAAAATATGCCCCTGGACGTATGACGTGGATACGCCATTTCACATCCCTGTCTGCAAAATGGCGCAACAGTGACACATGACGGCCTCCCGTGTTGCAGTAATTCGGTCTAAAAAGCGACTGCTGTCCGGTTGTCTATATAGGAGTGCCAACAAGGAACGGGCAAGAGTCCCTGTATGTCTTTTTTTTCTTGTGGTCTTTGCCCGTTGTTTCAGCGAGAGTTTTACCGTATACCTGGTCTTGGCATCTGGCCTCATTCTGACACGGGTCTGACAAGCATTCGTTGATTTCTGTCTGGCAGAGGGTGCCCTCGTATCCAGGCATGCAGTGACAGTCAAAGCCTCCAACTGCCATGAATCGATAAAAAGAACTAAATAAAGGAAATTGAAACACTGTTTTAAATTCGCTTAGAGAATAGTGTTAGCTGGTAGCAGTGGCATTTTCCTTTGTACGGTCGTTCCCAGCAATTCTTTGATTCGGAGCAGAACTGTTTTTTAGGAAAATTACCGTTGTCGACGCAAGTTCCATTGAAGAGGCAGGGTTGGGACCAGCATTCGTCTATATCGATCTCGCAAGTAGTACCAGTGAACCCTGTCATACACAGGCAGTTGAATGTGCCTCTGTCGTTATTGCAAACGGCGCCATTTTGACACGGAGAAGATTCACAGGCGTCAATCTCTGCGGAAGAAATAAGAGCGGACATCCACTGACGGTTTTTTTTTTTGCCTTCGGTGTTTAACTTTTTAAATTGCTTCGAAGAAAAATTGGTATTGTTACTTAGCTTAAAGGATGGAATGGAAAGTAAAAAAAATGTCTCGTCATTTTTTTCGTATTCTATTTGCAATTTTGAATTCAAAAGTTAAACCGAAACTTATTTGAATATGATTTTTTTTTCATATTTAACCTATGCATTCCTCTCCAGATGTGGAACCGTTAAATGCTGTTGTTCCGCTACCCGCACATGGAATGCATTGAGTCTGTTGCTCTGCAGGCTGATACGATCCCAGTGGGCAAGGTTGACATGGATGGAGTCCAGTTGCACTGAATGTTCCTGGGCCACAGACGGCTGTGAATGACAGGTGAGTCTTTTAAGTTGGAATTCATAATTGAAAACTAGGCGAGAAAATCGCCTTAGTCATTTTATCCATTGCCAAAGTATAAGTCAATGCTGTCCACACCTTTGCAGGCGAAAGGGTACCGACATGGAGCTCAAAAAACCTACAGTCTGAATCCTGTACGTTTCTGGTACAGATTGATGATACAGAATAAAAACTGTAAAGAATATATATCGAGACTTTCAAGGTAGACTTGCCTTGGCATTTCCTCGATGACCTAGACCCCGTTGCTGACGTTGTAGTACCCTCCCTACACGGCAGGCAGGCCGTCTGCTTGAAACTAGGCTGGAAGAAACCCCGTGAACACGGTCGGCAAGTGGCCAGTCCGGTCGGTGAGAACGTACCGGGTTTACACTCGGCTGGAATTACAGAATAGAAGTAGGTGGGTGATCTCTGCATTCAGTTCAGTGCCCACGGGCACGGTTAGAATGATTCTACAGCTTGTTGCCTAAAAACTGGGGGCTGACGGGAGAGAAGAAGCCCCCCAACGGCCGACAGATGCATCTGGAAAGACTGACTCTTCGGGTATTGGCAATCGGTGCGACTTGGAAGTTCTGTCCTTTTCCAAGCCTGACTGAGCAAGAAAGAGGTGAAAATAGCTAGTTTGACAGAGAACGGTATTCACCCATCAAACGACTTACGACGGCACTGGTTGACGTCCTTGGCTTGTGGTCCATCGGTCCATGTCCCCCAGGGACACGGCTTGCATTCATCCTGTCCCTCCTCGTCCTGGTACGTCCCTTCAGCACAAACTTTGCAGGTCTCTGTTTTGCTGTCGAAGTACGAACCCACGGTGCAGCTGACTGCGTGACATTGACAATTTAAGAAAGCAAGTGAAGGAGACACCTCATCCTCTCTAGCACATCCTCAAATTTTCATGGGATGGACAGAGCATTTTTCTTTCTCTACGTAGCATTCATAAGCTTCATCACAAAACTTAAGCATATAAACGTGTGTTTTTTATACGTAGTTACCGGTTTCCAATGCTGTCGCTGGGGTGATGTGAGCATATGGTCTTTTTCCCAAATATGATTCTTTTAAAGTTCAGGTACTAGTTTCGAGTTTGGTGTAGACTTGTCATTTTGGATTTCATTTTTGCAAGCAAACTCATTGGATACTTACGACAGTCCGTTTCATTCAGTACGACGGACCCACGACGGCACAGTGGAACACTCTCGTTGATCGTGACGGAGCCCTCTACGACGGGCAGGGTTTCATTCTCAACCAACAGGCGCAGCTGTCCGGCCTGTGCAAGTCGTTCGTAGTCCCAGCTAATTTCATCCAGTGTCTGTTCGGCGTTTCTCTGTTGAGCCCGGAGTAGCGTTTTGTTCTAAATGCAGCAAAGAGGTGGGCACATTTCGCTCATAATGTAAAATTGTCGTTTCTGTACACACCAAGTAATCATGGAAGTGGGCACAGGGAAATCTAAAGGGGATGATATCACCGTGGCCTGGGTAACCGATGTTATTATCCACTTCAAAATGATGATTAAAATTTTGTTTTTAAAATAACCTAAATACCAGTATATGTGATTAAAACATGTTGAAAGCAGTAGACACCGCAAAATTTATGCACGATGTTCCAGACAAATTTTCCCCAAGAAAAGAATATTGTTTCTTGAGGAGGGTGCCTTACCTCAGCTACAGATCGTATCCTCGTCGACACTGTGAAATCTAAGGTGACGATGCTACCAAAGTCTGTCTCGTCACCGGCAGTCTGACGGCGTCTTCTGCGCCGCCTGTCCTCGTCAATCTCCCCACAATACACGGTCACATACTCGACCCTGGGGAAATACAAATCGGCCTTGTTCAGACTCAGGACGAGGACCTTAAAAACAGCACGTCAACATTTCATGAAGATGTGGCAATTAGCTTACGTGCAGGCATTGTCGGCGACGCAGCCACCGTTTTGTCCCATCACACTCTTCTTGAAATCCTCCACAAACGCTTCCTTGATTGCTCGCTGGGCCTTCTCATCGCTACAGTCCCCTGCATAGTACTGGGATTCCATGCCCCGTCTGTATCCGTCTGCAGCTGCTCTCTCTAGACGCACATCAAACATGTATATTTACTTTTATGTAATTGAAGATGGACCCTCCCGGGAAGGACGTATTCACTGGTTTAAAATTAGCCATCAGTGGTGGTAATTGCCTTCATACTGCTGACGACGGTCGGGAAGACTATGGAAGAATCTTTGATAAACTCCGCGAAGGGTCACCTTGGTAATCTTGCTTGTCCCTTTACCCCACGCAAGGATTGAGCATGGATATTTTTATAACACGAACGTGTCCTCACAACAACATCATCATGGTGTCATCACGTACTTTTATTCACTAGTTACTGTTATTAATGATGTATTTTCACTGACGAATATCTTCAGAACTACACACTGGATGGGACTAAGATGAAGTACGTTTATAAGCTGGAACATGTTCAATGTAGGCTAATAATGATCAGGTGTGATGATGCGTTCGTGTGTCGCATCCCATGACCATAAAGGCGCTCTCGAAAAGTCCGTAAAAGTTTGAACGTCATCACGTTTATAAGCAGGGATGTGTTCGTGGTAATTTTATGAGACATTCTGACGAGTCATTCATGTTTCATGTGACTGTATCTAAAATCTTTACTCTATACAGGCCTATTATCCAAGACACATCCGATCAAATTCAGCTGTGTGGTTTATGCGCATAGATGTATTATATTGCTCTGATATCAAGTAAACCAACGTCGTATCACGTGATCGCGATCCGGATCTGCGCGAAATAAACAGGCCCTAAGCATGATAATATAAAACTTGATGATTCTTGATCTTCAAAATAAATGCCACATGCAAACGTCAGACGATGATGACTCCCGGGACCGAACTGTTGCCCGACTGCATTTCTATGCAGACCTTATATTTCAGAGGAGTTAACATCTGATTGAAATTGATTGTCATTACAACGGACCCAACTTGATGCTCACTCCGAGTTTCTAGTTCGAACATTGCACTGTCTGGAAGACCAACCCATAGGAAAGCTTTACATGCATTTACGCTTTTCCTAATTGGAAAATTTCGAAACACAATTAGATACTGCGTTTGCGTCCGTGGCCAAATGTTGTTACCATCCCAAGATCTTGTGACGACCGATTCTTACCTGAACAGTCTGGCCAGGGTATGGCCATTCTAGGTGGTACTGTGCGCCATTTCCCATGAGAGCAAATGTAATAATTAGCTGGCTTTTCGGAGAAATCGAAGGCTGCGTTGCAGAATATCCGACAGAACTGACCGAAGAGCCACGCGTCACAGGCCCTGGCGCCGTTTCGCGGGTCCGGGTAATTCGGACATCTGGTGGCTGAACAGAAACAAAACCAATGCTCATTATCAGTGGATGACAGTCAGTTATGTGGTTGTTTGCGAGGATGTTTGAAAAGACAGAGGGGACTCCTGTGTACACTGTACACGTGTACCATTTTGCCAAGGCACAACTTGGAAAGACGAGAACCTGTCTCTTCGTGTCCATGACAAGTAAGAACGCAGCTCACCATTAAAAGTTCAGTAGGCCTATGCGTGTGAATTTTTGTCGAATGTTCCCTTTCCAGAGCACTGTCAAACAGAAAGCCAGATTGCGGTACAAAGCGATACATAATAAAGGTCTTCCGACAGACTTACGTCCAAGACGAATCGTAAACTGGCACTCTATGCTCAGTCCCGCTCCATCTCTAGCTGTGTAAGTCACAATGTGCGAACCCCAGGTGAAGTCGGCCCCTTGCTCGTGTGTCTGAAATGCAAGGCAACATGTAAACATTTTGTAAATCAAATTTATTCCATGAATTTATCTTTATAGGCGATCACTGAAAAACTTTTCTCATTTGAACCTCCCTTTAGTCAGGACAAAGCAATTTTAACTTAGAGGTACTATAAATTATACAATCCTTTTACACCAGTAGCTTATTCCCCGCTAATTCATGGAGGAAATCTGTCGTAGTCAACCAGCCTGTAGTTTACATCTGGCTTTATTGCATAATGATACTTCGAATGCTTGCAGTATTGATCGATATTACTTTGTCAGAGTGTACGCTTGAGTGTACAGGATGGCAAAGAGTCTAACCTTCTCGATATTCAGTTCCTGTTTGGAGTTGTCAGCGAATTCAGGTTCATCCCATGACACACTTTTGGTCTTCTTCTTCGAGGTGATGTCAATGATTGGCCCTGGGCAGCTGTCCACTGTTGGTGGCTCTGTGTCTGTCGGAGTGACAGAAATGTACCCCCAAAACGCTGAATTTTCTGATCAAAGCAGCAATGCATGGAGACCTTTTTTCTTTAGGTTTCTCTGTTGTCCGTCAGCCTTCTCTCGGCGTTGAGACATTCTTTACAGTTTATTGTTCTAGAAAAGTCGACCGAGATCGTCCTTGATGATATGGCATGTCCGAAACTGACGTCTTTGTCTCCGGCTGTGAACACCCACTATGGTGCCACCGCGTTAAAAATGAGGTTGTGGCCAAGGAAGGGCCAATTGGGATTCAGTCTGGGCATCGAACCCACCTTGTTACACACGCGTGTTACTTTGTGCGATTGATTGTCTTGCTATCATAAATAAACGGAACTTTATCTTCAATGGTGCTTTCTTCTCTAATAAAAACCGTCTATAGGGAACCAAACACAACACGCACTATCAAGTCCTGTCGTCTTACCTCGAATAACGACTTTGAGCAAGCATAATGAGCTTAGGCCAGCCCTGTCTGTCACGTTGTAAGTGATGACCACTGATCCGATCTCAAAGCGATGAGGGGACTTCAGACCGTCTGGAGTGACCATGACGGTGAGAGCATCTGTTCTGTCCAGGTTGTCCTGAAAAGTTGGCATATCCCAGCTTACCTCAGCCGAGGACAGACCAGGATCGGCATCTTTAACCACAGATCGTGGACAGGTGATTATTTCCGGTGGGGTATCATCTAAAATCCATTATAAATAAAAAAAAAAACTCGTCAAATAGGACTATATGGTAAGAATTGTGATTCTGGGCAACGTGTACACAAGGTTAATAATTAGCTTACAACCAGATTTGGGCGTACATTGATACTAATCAAGATCTTGTTACCAGGAAACTGGATCTCAATAAAATACATATCATCCTTGATTATACTAGGCAATCCAAACTACAGAAACTATAGGAGGGAATCAATATTGCCAAATACATTTAATCTGATGGTAAATGACGTGTCCCCCATTAATTAAGAATCGTTGACGGGAAGCCACCCACCAACATCTGGTGTTATACTGAATGCGCTATGGCGCGATGAATCTGTCAACCCTGTAATTGGATTGGTCAATTTCACGAATTGAAATCTGCCGACCCTTGAACCTCTGCTATAATACAAGGCCTAAATTGAAAAAAAAAAAGAAACCGAGAGAAAAACATTATGAGTGAGACAAACTCAACGGACGAGGTTGAGACTCAACTTACCCACACAGGCAACCTCTTCCCCAGCGCGTGACCAACTGCCACCGGCCTCGCACGTCTTGAACGAGGGACCACGCAGTTTAAATCCATCTTTGCACTTGAAGAGGCAGATGAAATTAACGGGTCGCCTTGTGGAGCATTTCGAGGGTTGAGTTGAGCCGTGGCGCAGGGGGGGAAACGCTGGACAAGTGATGGCTAAAAAATGGGGTGAAACTCTGTCATCAGTAGAAACCCACAGCTATCAAAGGGAGAATTGTTTAGCTTTAGCTTACATGGAGTACAATCGACTCTATTCTTGGGAAGACTTGTTTCTGAGGAGCAACCGACGTTAGCTAAATTGTAACAAATCTTGTGTTGTGTTCGAGAATATTGCTCCCGTACTTCGCATATGGCCTCTCCGTAGCAACCTTTTGTTGGCTCTCTGTATGATAAAGTCTTCCGTATCCTTGATTACGGTGTGCATTATACGTTGGATGAACGCCTAAACCTGCTGGCACATGACAGGCGTGGGAATTCTCTGCTGCTCAAGCAGAGAGTTGAGCTTCCGTTCAAGATATGGGTGTGGGTATTCCCCTTTACGCTTTACATTTGGTGTACACCCTTCCTAGGCCTCCGATAGCAGTAGACAACGCTAATGTTGCCCTGCTATTCCTAGAGACCATTAACGCGCGCTCACAAACTGCATGTGAGCGTAGCATTATCTTGACACAAAGGCTTCAAAGTCTGGCTAACGGATGAGGCCAGAGGTTTTACAAAGTGGCGTACGTACGTGTGCATGAGAAGTTTCCAGACCACTCTCCTGAGGCCGTGCATGTCCGTTCCCGATTTCCAACTGGGTTGAACCCATCATTACAACGAAAACTATATAATTAAACATACGAGAGCCATTTTACAAAAATAATTTACATCGTTGTAAATATTCGTCAGATTCTCGTTAAACATTAAACTAATATATCCGACAGCGCAAACTATTGTCTTTCATTTAGTTTCTACAACATGACCCTCTCCTCGAGACCCGCTCACTCACGGATTTTCGGGGACCACTTTCCACAGTACGGATCTCCTCTTAATAAAAACAGGACAGATTCGCTACGTTTTGTCAGGGTTGATTCCGTTGTCGGCATGCTATACTACAGTACGTGCGCATGTATCCATAAATGACAGACCTTATTCGCAGGGACGCCATTTTCGATCTTGTTCTCAGAACCTTTCTTATTCAACGTAATCTTATTAATACTAAGACTAGTTCGGGATCTAATCTTCACTTTCACTTTTCTTAATTTGGCTTTAATCATTTAGATATAGTTTATCACAATTTTTCAGTTATTTCTCACTATAAATGACATTTATTTGCAACAATCTTTAATTTCATTTGTTATATTCTGTGGTTCCCAAAAATAAAATGTTACCCTCGCTTTCAATCTGATATTGCTGACTTGTGGATAAGGCTGATTAATTCGGAATATTTAACGCTATATGAACCAGTTACATTCGTTCCCTACCATGTCCATAGACCGGTTCCAATTAACACGCCTGTATCTTAACAAAGATACAGGCGAATTTCAGACGGCAATAGTGAAGCAGGATTAAACTTTTAGTCTCAATGTATGCGTTTTGCTCTTTTTAATTGTTCACAAACTGTGTTTGTAGAACAGTCTTGTTCTTTATTTCAATTTCTATCCCAGAGCCCACAGGAAGAAAAACTCTTAGATAACTAATGGGTCTACCTCGTAAAATAAAGATTCAATAAATACGTGGAAATAAATACATGATTGGGTCAGTTGTTGACCCTATACTAACCTGCAAGTTGTGTCGTAGACGTTACGCTTACCAGCCTCCTGATTCCGACACTGAACGATCAGGCCATTTGGGGGTGGTATCAGCGCGGGACACTGAACCTCTGTCGGGTTAAGACGTAGACAAAAATGTGCCCACGTTAAATCAGTGGTGACACCAAGCAGTCAAATCTTAAGAATTCAATGACAGGTTGTGATAGGCCAATTAAGTCCGTTATGAAAATGTATCGGTGAACTTTTTCTCTGCACAGTCGTTCTTCAAAGATGTTAAAGAGTATGCTTCGAAGACATTTTGCTGTGGCTGAAACTTACGACCGTTCCTGAAAGTGGTTTTGCCGAATACGGCTTTGACTGTTTGCAGTGGCATAATACCAGCAAAATACCAACAAAACGGCAGCAAACAACTCGCCAGGACGCGATCCGTGAATGATTTTGTGCTTCATTGCTTCATTATAATAAACGAAATAGCCGGGCATGTCAAGGTCTTACTTCGGCACTGTGCTACTGTTTCCGTCCAATGACCGTCGGCCTGACATCGGCGCTTGGCGGACGCCGGGTCTTGTAGCTCGTAACCGACGTCGCACTCGAAGGAGCACACTGACTGGTACTTGTTGTCGCAGGGAGCCGGCAAAATCCTCCCATTTCTAAGCGACGTTAAAGGCGGGCAAGAAACAACTGTAGAAAATAGCATGAAACGACAGTGACAAAAAAAGAAGAGTCCTTGACAATTATGCAAACATTTTGTTTAAATTAACGTTTAAACTCTTTCCAGAACAATTTCTTATTATCTGTTTGCTGAATGATAAAAGGTTTGGATTTTTATGGGTGTATTGTGTACTTAGCCACCGAGCGTGGATGTATAAATGTGAGCCATTTTGGTATTTCATAAAGGCAAGGTCTTTGGGGAACCAAGTACTTGCTTGAGTTGGCTCATGGCAGCGTTGCTTTGACATAGTATCAACGCGCGCCCTCCTTGGACGTACTTCAGATTTTGGCATGCACTGCTCGAATACCTAACTGGCACATGGGACGTCGTGGTGCCTTGTGGTGCTTGTGTTCAATTGCTAAAAACAGTTTTTGGGTGCATCTATGGAGACTTGGATGAGAGTGGCGTCGGGGTGGATGGTACCTCAGAGGCCCATCCCCCGCTTGTGTCATTTTGCCAGTTCTTTGTCTTCCTCTAAGGACCACTTCACCACTAAACAAAAGGACAAACTAAAGCAATTCTCCTTACTCCGGCACGGCTCTCCACTCTGCGGATTTCCCTCGTAGCCTTCTTTGCACTCGCACGCCGCCACGGTTTGGCTGCCGGGATAAGTCGTCGTCGAGTCGGGCGGGCACGGGGTGCACCCATCTGTGGGTTCGTAGGTTGACTTGTAAGAGCCGCGCGGACACACTATATTAGACAGGAGAAAACCAACGCATGTGGTTTTGATGAAATCATCTTAAAAGCTGATATAAACAACTGATAGTCAACACCAAATGAAAATATATTGTGGAATTACTCAGGTGTTGTGTTTTATTAGTTTACTTTTGACTTTAATGTGACAGCTCTTGCAGTGAGCCAGGCATTTATAAAGGGAATGGGGCCTGGCATTTACAAAATAGACGCACTCCAATATGGGGTTATATTGAAGTAAAAATAGTATCGCATCGGTACAAAAATTACAGATCGCAGAAAACAGGTGATAGGGGTGAGTGCGCACCTTTCTAGATCCACCAATTGTTTCAATAAATTAAGGTTCACTCGCAGCTCCACTTTGACCACTTTACTCCCCAATACGCTTAAAGCCTCAATATTTGTCTCATTTTCCTGTCTAAAGCGAATCCATTGTTTGTCTAAGGCATCGGAAGTGTATTACTTAGAGTTTGAGGGCATGGCATTTAACAACAACATCGTTTAAGAGAAACTTGTCCAAAACGTGCCACTAAAATTAACGGTATATTTTCATCAAGCGACACCTTTAATTGCATACCCCCCAAAAAAATCACCAGATGTTTGAATCATTTAAAATGTGGCATGACATGACATGAGTTTCCATCACTTTCAACATCATGATAATCCATTGCGATTGTGTGTGGGCGGTTTGTCGCAGGAACTTGTTCGCGGAAGCCGGAACTCGTATGTGCCAGCGGGAAAATCCCCCACGCACCACCCGCAGTCTTATCACCGGTTTAACAACAATACCAGCGGATGTTGCCGCGGCACTGGGTCAGGGACCTACGTGCTTGAACGCCAGCACTTTGATGGCCACGTTGGTCTTTCCGAGTACAAGCGTTTCAACAGACGGTGTGAGCTCTAACATGTATTTGCTTATTCGAGTCGAGTACGCCCTCTTTTAATATTGGATAAAAACATCAAATTTTACAAACAAGGAGCAATTCAAGTAGACATTATTGTAAAGCACTTTCCGTCGTTTTTAAATCTATCGAGTACCAGAAAACGAAAACGAACTACCTCTGACATAACTGGCATCCCTCGGTAACTTTGAAGCCCTGCTCCCACCTCCCCCGTTTGACTTACATTTACATTCGTACAAGAAGCCGCTGCGTCCGTACGTGCCCGGTCCGCAGACGCAGTCGTGTCGCCCGCCGACGAGTGAACACGTACACTTGGCGCTGAAATCACAGCAGCCGTAGTCCGTGTCGTTGAACGGCTTGTGACAGATGTTGTCACACAGTGTCTGGTTCACGGACGTGTCGTACATAGTTTCGTGTGGATCTGAGGGAGGAACAGTACACATATCTTCAGCCTTTGTAACTTGTTCAGAGCATTAAATGCTTTTGAAATGAGTTACTGGCAAGGAAGTAGTCAACATCGAAATGATAAAGAGAAAGTTACAATTTTCACCGTATAATCTTCTAGTTTGTATTCAGATACTAGCAGGCAATTTTTTTAAGCCGTGCATCCACGACACTTACCGAAAATGATAGAAGGAAAATAACATGTTATTTTAATAAAAGGGCACAATAGCGAAGGTGTTTAGCAGGAAAAGAATCACTAAACCGTCCTTCAAACTTCACAGAAACTGACCGCCGCGAATTCGCAAGGCCAGGTTCTTGAAATCCTCAAAGCTGTGGTAGAGGAAAAATGGTCGCCCGGGGAGGCCATCTGTCGCAGTTTGGAACGGTCAAGGAGTCCCACACCGATGGTAAATATCTCTACCCCCTCCTCCTTGAGTTGCTTGGCCACTTTCAGCGGGTCATCTCCCGTGTTGGAAATACCATCACTCAGCAGGATCACCACCTACATAGGAGGACAACCTGTGCATTAAATGTTTGCACAATAAAGTAGTTTCACTACAACCCTCAAAGTGGATCTTTGTGTTCAGTTATTCTTATTTTCAAGTTGGTTTACTATTTTAAAGAGTACCGAAGTGTGACGTCACTGTGAATCAGAAAGTGCAGTGCAAACGAATGAAGTACGCGCACGTGTTGGTTCTCGCGCTAATGCCTTTTACGTACTAATTGTGCGCTTGATGCATTCACTTCGGTACTCAATACATAGTCTAATACAACTACATATTTGTAAATATGTATCTGCGACTTACCAAAAACTTTACATATTCACGAGCATGATTTTATGACTTTTCAGGGAAAAATTTCAAATTACATTGATTTTTTGCACAAAACTTCCTGAAGTTGTAATATTGTGGCGTCCAAATTTCTTTTTTGAGCTAAATTGTTGAATAGTTCAAGGCAATGAGCCAACGAGCAACTCGTACTCAAAAATGTTTTCAATCAGCAAATTTTTCAATAACAATTTGACTGGATCAGAGTTTTTCATTACCTATCGATTGTTTCAATCACTTTATTGACCATCAATTATTTCACCATCGTGCTGTGTTTCTCGGGGGAAATGAAAAAAGGTTGTCTGCCAAATTGAGAATGTCAGATGTGACAATTGGTCAACAATATCGAATGACTGCTGGTCAATGGTAAATTCCCTCCGACCTGGGATGAAAATTATTCCGGAGATCCGCAATGCCCATCGATCAACTGACAACCGAGATTAATGCCCATCAAAACAACAATCGATGTATTTGTCGAATCTGAATCGATCGATGATTGATTGACCAGCTAGTCAGGGAACAGACCAATATATAGATCATGCTGCTTCCACACTTGGTATAATTGGGAGCCCTTACCTTGTTAAGGACTTAAAACGGATTTGAAAGAAAGACATTTTTGGACAAACAAACTGCTTACACGTTTGACATCCTGCCGTCCATGAGCCAAGATGTCCCTCGCTTCTTGCAGAGCCTTGGCCGTGTCTGTACTGCTGCCGTCTGTGTACCTGACGTCTTTTATGGCCGAGACGAAGTTGCATTTGTTGCCCGTTTCGATGGCAATGTAATCAATGTGTCGGGTCTATAATACGGGATAAGGAAAGCGCACAAAGCAATAGTTTTAGGAGCACACAAATTACTTCACTGATATAACGTCATAATTATTCGTGAACACAACCGTACGAATATAAAAAGCTTTTTAAACGACTTCAACATCAATGGTAACATTTTAATGAGTTGATTGTTAGTATCATCATGGGCTTTGCCAAGATGTTATTTTCCGAATAAACGTCTGCAGTTTATTTCGGACTTTTTCTTCTGTATAAATTGACTTCCTTGTGATAAAAATAGGCAGGCGGACGGACGGACTGATCATCAATGATTAGTGGTCCAATATACATGTAGATGGTCACCGTTAACCGCCTATTAGACAGCAGGTCAGTCAGTCGAGAAGGTAACTAGCCGCTAATGACTGGTCAGACAGCCACCAAGCTAACCAGCCAACTGACAAACGGCCACTCAACTAGTCAAGCAACCAGTTAGAGAGTACAAGGGCAGATTACGGAGTGGTCAGTCGACTGACCAGCCAATCGCCCATTAAGCTCTATGCCCTACGCGTCACGCTAACTCACCACGTCCTCGCTGTAGCTGACGATCGCCACCTGGGTCGCGTCAGGGCCGATGCTAAACTCCGTCAGCAGGCTCTCCACGAAGAACACCTGGACGTCGAAATCTTCAGGCCCAATGCTGCCGGAGCGGTCCAGCAGGAAAACCAGCTCGGACTTGCCGTGCGAGTAGTCGCGTCTCAGTGCAGAGTCTAAGATGGAGGGGTCACCCTGCAGCTGTTGCTCAGATGGCCCGGGGGCCAGCAGCAGCCAAGTCAAGATGACAGCCAGAAGAGCTGTCATGGTTTCACCTGACAAAACCGAAAAACGTTCACTGTAAAGTACAGGGTATGGGGTGGGTGGAGTGTAGTGCCCACCGGTTTTTTTGGGGGGGAGGAGACAGGGGTAAGTGACCAGAAGCACTCTGCAAATTGCACCAGCATCCGCGCTCTGGTTTTGCAGTTTTGTTGGACAGAACTAAAAAAAAAAAACCTCAGCCGGCTTTCAGACCAAAAAAACCCCCCTCAAAAATGACATCTGACGACCTATCACTAACTTACCCAGGTTTCAATCACTGAGGACTATACACTCTAATGTTTCGCTTACATAGACAGTGCCGAAAGGAGCGAACATGATACTCATGTGAAGACAGTAAAATATCTGTAAACAGTGATCTGTGATCATAAATGTTTTGTTCTAGTTCTTCTCCATGCATGTTCTTGCAACACGTAAGTCTAAATTCTGTTTCCCGGACACCAGTAGCTGGTCTACAGGTGAGCAGGTGATAATGAGCTCCTAATACCCCCACCGCAACAAGCACACAAGCAAGCAAACAAAGACACCAGTAACATCACCATTGGTCATGGTTTGTTTACCAGTGAAAGGATTTTGGTTACAACGTACAAGAAGTGTCTTTTCATTTTACAAAGATTAAACAATTGGATATTATTCCTCGTAAATTTTTTTTCACCGCATTTGACAACAATGTGAGAACATCAGGTCCTTCCAAGTTAAATTTTGATACTTTGCAACATGAAAAAAGAGGTAGTAAGTCATTTTTTCTCTCTGTAAACCAGTTAATTTGATTGCTCCTTTGGTCTATCTTGGACACATGAAACCTGTCCTTTATTACGCCAGTTGCTCTCCAAACTTACAATGCTTATACCAATGACAGAGCCCGTCCATCTGATAATATACTTGTTGAACAGGGAAAAGGAACAAACTTATTGTTCAGAGTAGTTTTGAAAATAGGGATTGTGGGTCTTCATTGGACCAATAAAGCTATCGCACTTTCCTCTGTTGTTAAGTAAAAGCTGTGAAGTGGATCAAAAGCTTTAACACGCAATACTTACCACTGTTTTGTTCGACTGAAGCGCTGGAAAATCTCTACCAACGTCCGGGTGCCTTTCACTTTCAGAAAAAAAGTTCAGGTCTGCGCTAAGCAACGACTATGTTGACGAATTTCAACATCCGTAATTCCAAAGCAATAAACCAGCTTCTTGCGACTGGTGCACGGGATTGGTGCGCGTACGCCTCTGGGGACTCGACCGTGGTGCCCTTGTTGTGATCCCTGGTTTCCGGTAATTCCTCGGTTCTGGTGAAGTTCCGGGTTACTGGCATATGCATGATTCTTTGCCAACAGTCTACAGCGGCACCAACACGACTGGTGTTTATTGGATTTGTCCTTGCCGTGGTCATCGGTAAGGTGCCGTTGGATTTGTATATTTCTCCTTGAATCTCTAGATCCATTCTGAAGAACTAAAGGAGTGTTTTTTTCACCTCTGAACATATTAAAATTAAAACTTCACTGGGGACACTGCATTCTCTTCAAAGCGAACGTTCAGGATGGCACTGTGTTGGTTACTAGTGATTTGTGGGGCCCTCTGCCTATCGACACGGCCTCTATCGGCCACAGCACAACGTGGTAAGCATTTGGAACATTGTACTAGATCCTTACAATGTAAGCGCTCCACTACGCAGCATTATAACGGTGACTGCGTCTCGTCAGATACGACGCACTGTAAGCTCTGCAGTCCCTTTGTTAGCAACTTGCGATCTTTTTTAAACGTTTGCAAAAAACAATTCCGTGGGGGTTAAGGGGGTATCTAAAAACAACTTCCCTACGTTCCGAATGCAAAGCCCAAAAGTTTAGTTTCGCCCATTTTAAAGACTGTATAAGAAAACATTGGGCTCTTCAACTGCTCCTGTCCAAAGTGACTTGCTTGCAGTTGGGTCACTCATCCATTGAACAAGCACGAATGTGTACGGATTCCAGTCCAGTCCGTCTGGCTCTGTGCAAAGCAATGTGCAGTCTTAGACCCTGTAAAATTCCGAAATCAGTCTTATCCAGTGTTTCGACGACAAATTGACTCGACAACGTGGTAACATGGATGTTGATTTAAGCTTTTGTAGGACAAAGATTTTGGCCTACACTGTAAAAATACAGGTTAAAAATTGGGCCAAACAAGTTTACCAACAGATGGTTTGTCTCTCTTTGAATTACATGTTTGGTCAACTACCACACAAGAAACCGAACATTTGAAATCAGTAACTGCCGTATTGTCGATTCAGTCTCACATTTGAAGCCAATGTGTTATAGTGTTGAACAGTTCATGTCAAAGGTTGACAAATCTAACGTGCAAAATTTCTATCATTCTCCCACGACCCATTTTTACGACGATAGGACCGTACCACTCTGAATCTCCGACGGAACAATCAATTTCAAGATTTTCCCCAAAGAGAGAATATCGTGACAATGTCATTTTGCGTTATCACAGGTGATTTTTTAATTCATTTCTCTCTCTGTAGCTGACCAACTAGTCGTGACGTTCATGATTTTGAACCGATTGACAAAGAGACACACACCTCGCCGTCAAACATTGTGGTAGTGCGAGATTTCACGTTAATATCCACGCTTAAACGAAAAATATTGACCGGTAGTCTTATTTCCACTTTTCAAGCATTAAGTTACCTCAAATCTGACCCTTCGTTAACCCGGTAGACAAACTGAAGGTCTGACGACTTCGACATCCACTCCGGATGGTTGCCCAACTAAAACTTTTTCAGATCCCAAATATACCACACTTGAGATACTTAGTTGTATCCATGCATGTCCAGCTGATAGAAGTTGGTCTTTTTTATACCCACTGAGTTTGAAGTGATCCATCTTCATCCTTTTTCTGAGCAGTTATTTTCTGTGGCCTTTCCCCCGACAGTATAACATGTAAACCTGAAACTTGACACGAGCATCAACCCAGATTCCTGAATGTACGTAACGATTGCATCATCGGCTATCAAATCACTAGCGATTTTAGTTTCAGCCTTACACATTGTATTCATAACCTTAGCTTACAGATGAACTTTAAACCCAACGGCTTCGTGACCTAATGACGTACAATGAGCAATGGTGTATAACTACAGGGGGCACGTCCCCTTCCGTTGAAATCTCTGCTGAGTTTATATTATAACTGTGCAGTCACAGCTTTGTGGTGCCCCCTTGGAAAAATGTATGCACCCACGGGTGCCCCCCCCGACAATTAGCCCTATGCCACTGACCATGAGAAAATTCAGCTGACAGATTGTGGAGTTTGTGTGACTGAAATGAGCTAGATAGAATGCCCAGAGATTCAAGTTTTTAGTTAATCATGTACAGTTGTTATTACTTTTGGGGGCATAGTCGAGCAAACTGATTCTGAGGAAGATGGCAGATTCCCGTGTGGCCAGCCACCAAGCATCGAGAACGGCAGCTATGAAACCTACAATCACGGCGCTTCCATTGCATACCTCTGTGACGATGGGTTCATGATGTACACGTTTGGTGNATCGTGCAAGACATTGCCGAGACGGAAGATGGAGTGGGAGCACCCCGATCTGCACGGGTAAGAGTTCCATTCAATGCTGGCGTATCAAGCGAATGACACATTGAGAAGTTTTAACTGAAGTAAGTTTCCACTGAACTATTTTTGTGTTTGAGAAAACAATGTGCCTGATTGTAGACACAGTATTACCACCCTTTGGGTTTGAGGGTTAATCAGGATTTTTTGGGAGGCAAAATAAAAATAAAACACACTGTCCTAAAAAAAAAAACAATTCCTTTTACCCTCACCCTAGACCTGGATACACCACTGGTTATTTAGTCTCCTACTTCAGCTAATGGTTTTTGAACTTGATCGTAGGTGTCACCAGGATTTTTCGGGGGGCAAAATTCAATCAGAGCAAAACTGACTAACCCTGAACGATGGTAGAGGATCTAATTCTGTATTATTTTCAAGCAAATTGACAATTGTCATCCCCTTTCATGTTTTTCTTTTCATTAATATTCCCATTTTGAATCTTTTCTTTCTCGCAAAAACACCCCTTCTCCCATGTGACGCCTATGTTCCCGATAATATGTCTTCAAGCGGATCCATATTATACGTTATTACTTCAGTTTATGCGTCCATTGTAGACCTGCGTGCTTTATGCACAATGAGCACGAATGATTGAATGAAAGAAATGGGTTATTTGAATTACTGGTTGTTTTTTTTAAGCTGGTGGGTGTTCAGAGGAAGACGCACCTACTGTAGAGAACTCCGCTGTACAGCGATTCAACGGAGGCACGGTTCGGTTCCATCGCTGTTATGCTGGGTTCGAGCGCCAGTGGGAGGGTTCCATGGTAATCTACTGCGATGGTGCTCGCTGGCGTAACGAGCCAGGACGGTGTGTGAGGGCTTCATCATCTCCGTGTGGACCAGCTCCACACGTAGAGAATGCAAGACAGACCACGCAATCTGACGGACTGATTACCTACACGTGTGAACCGGGCTACAGACGGAGACTGGGGGNGTCGCAAAAGACATTGCCAAGACGGAAGATGGAGTGGGAGCACCCCGATCTGCTCGGGTAAGAGTTCCATTCAATGCTGGCGTATCAAGCGAATGACACATTACGAAGTTTTAACTGAAGTAGGTTTCCAGTGAACTAGTTTTGTGTTTGAAAAAACAATGTGCCTGATTGTAGACACAGTATTACCACCCTTTGGGTTTGAGGGTTCAATTCCAAAAAAGAATCCATTTTACTCTCACCCAAGACCTGGATACACCACTGGTTATTTAGTCTCCTACTTCAGCTAATGGTTTTTGAACTTGATCGTAGGTGTCACCTGGATTTTTCCGGGGGCAAAATTCAATCAGGAGCTAAACTGACTAACCCTGAACGATGGTAGAGGATCTAATTCTGAATTATTTTCAAGCAAATTGACAATTTGCATCCCCTTTCATGTTTTTCTTTTCATTATTTTTCCCATTTTGAATCTTTTCTTTCTCGCCAAAAAACCCCTTCTCCCACGTGACGCCCATGTTCCCGATAATATGTCTTCAAGCGGATCCATATTATACGTTTTAGACATAAATTTGAACTGAATTACTTCAGTTTATGAGTCCATTGTAGACCTATGTACTTTGTGCACAATGAGCACGAATGATTGAATGTTAAAAATGGGTTATTTGAACTACTCGTTGTTTTTTAATCAGCTGGTGGGTGTTCAGAGGAAGACGCGCCTACTGTAGAAAACTCCAGTGTACAGCGATTCAACGGAGGCACGGTTCGGTTCCATCGCTGTAATGCTGGGTTCGAGCGCCAGTGGGGAGGTTCCATGGTAATCTACTGCGATGGTGCTCGCTGGCGTAACGAGCCAGGACGGTGTGTGGGGGCTTTCTCATCTCCGTGTGGACAAGCTCCACACGTTGAGAATGCAAGACGGACCAAGCATTCTAACGGACTGATTACCTACACGTGTGAACCGGGCTACAGACGGAGACTGGGGGGAGGCAGCATTCTATGCAGTGCAGATGAGCAATGGATCGGCTCACCAGGAGTATGCACACGTAAGAAAAACAAAAAAAATATTTTTAAGTCCTGAGAATTATCACTGATGTTACAAACTATTGCAAGTGATGCCAAATTATGGGACTGCGTCATAGCACCTGGAATTGTCTAATTCTACACCCCTTCCAAGTTTTTCATTTATCCAAAGACATAATGCGCTTGTATTTGTTTTGTATAGAAAAAAATAGCCAAAAATGTCGCTTTATTGGTATGAACTACCAGTGCGTAACTATGGTCAATTTGAGACTGAATTGGTGAATTTACTTACTGTTAATAAATGGAATTTAATTATCGAATAGGCCTAAGTTTGACAAGATAGTTATGTTTCCACTCGGGAATCTCTTGGAAACCTTGACAGACGTAGGATAAAATATTTATGATCCGGGGCTCGGAAAACACATGAACGATTGTCAATCGATTTACACTTTCAGTCAGAATGAGTCCATTCGTGTTCATTATATCATAAGACCAATGGTAGCTGTGAAATTAAAGGAAAAAATAATAGCCATCATTCCGGTAAATGACGCTAACATGACTGACCCTTTCAGAGTTTTTTTATCGTATACAACTCTAACTTCAAGTTAGATTTGTCGATTGACGGGAAGGGCCTGTAGACCAAGTTTGCCTAATTCTGTTTAGGTAATGCAAATATTTTCCCCTTTTTGTGGCAGGTTTATTCTGAAAAATGAGGAAGATGTCATACTGATAACCATAAATTATTTAGCCAATCACGAACTACAAGTCATTGTTTGATTCCCCGGGTATTATTCGGTGGAGATAGAAAGTCACTGAAAACTATCGCAGAAGTTTAATGTATTCGTGTGCGTCTATCTTAAACCATTGATACTAACAGAGAGACTTTTGAAAACTTATATGCAGGTCAGGGATGTGTCGTTCCCAGGACAGATAGCATTCAGAATGGTATCATCAATATCAAGCAATCGGGGGCTGTGCTAAAGATCGACTGTCAGGCTGGGTACGAGATGAGGGGGTCATCAGTGCTGTACTGCAATGGTCGGCAATGGAACGGAACTTTACCAACATGTACAGCCGCGCAGCCGAGTAATGGCTACCCCGCGTCCATACGGGATGGCACTCACTGCGGTAATAGCATACCTACAGTGAGCAATGCGTACCTGCGATATGCAAACAAAAAGGACGCAGAGGGTAGACTGTTTTACGCTCTAGTTTACAGCTGTCACCGAGGCCATACTTTGCGTCCAGCCAACTACGCCGTGTACTGCTCCGGTGGTAATGTTGTCGGGACACTACCAAACTGTCTGGGTATGTGTTGATTTCCTTTCATTACTACTAGGCCTAATCCATCATGTCTGAATAGAGCTTGAACTTGACTCACTTATGAGCTAGTTGCATGAATTTCGGAGAGACCGTTAAAAGTTTAAATCGTCTCCATGAGTTATAAGGAATCGTAATTTTCTGGCTGTTGTTTTAATACACTTTATCCGATGTAGACTTTGAAGAATGCTTTTAAAAGACATTTCAGTTACTTTGCTCTTTGAATTTTGAGAAAATGGTATTGTACAGGGATACGCTTTTCGAGAATAAGTGAGCAAAACCAACTGGTGTATTACCTGAACAAACGGGACCGAAAGCTTGTGATCTGTATGTTCCAATTCCACCCAAGTCAAAAACACTGGCAAGATAAATTCATCACATTGTTATTAAAGTCCATTTTATACTGTAGTTCACTTTTGTTCTAAAACGAAATGAGGTTTGAATTTGTGTTCCACCTCTTGATTTCCTCAATTTCTGACAATCCCGAAGCTACTTGTGGCCATAATAATGGAGGATGCCGGCATACCTGCAGGAATGGACCCGACGGTGCAGTCTGCTCGTGTTGGGATGGGTACCAACCAGCAAGTTCAGACGGCAAGACTTGCCGAGGTACAACGTGGACCCAAATCTGTTATTATCTTCTTTTGCAATAAAGGTTCATTTGGAAAATGGATAATCCAAGTCATTTTAGCACTTCATTAGACTCTGATAGAGCAAGCAATAATTATTAGATTGAAAGTCAGTAGAATCGAATGGCTGCTCGCTGCTAGACCTTCCTGGTCCTAGCAATCGATCACATCCTTTGTTGCTTTCTCTGGGATAGATGCAAACAGGTCATACAGTTGAAACACTGAGAAAAAGTGTCACGTGTTCACACAGCTTTTTTCGGGGGCCTTCTTTTGTCGTCGTATTGTTTAAGCTTAATAGCCGTTTCGGGAAGAACCCGTTCTTTATTTTGCCCGCGATTTCCAACCGAGGACCTTTACCCATGACGTTAGTTGTTCAAGAAATGAAAGGGCTCCCAAATTCTTTGCTCGTCCCAACCCCAGCAGGCCTGGGTGCTGGAAAGGAGAAAAGGGTTTCATATATTTTTGGAAAGGAAATACGCCCCGGCCATGGGTGTGCTTTAGTGGGTTACTTGTCCGTTTGCAGTCAATGCGCACGTGTCACGACTTTGTGCGCGTGCAAAAATTGGCCCGTGATATTGTTCAAAATAAGCAAACCAGTGACAAAAATTGTCATGCATTTGCCCGTCCTGGCCTCTTGTGCGGCCGCCGCTGCGATGGATGTGAAAGCGAAGCGAATTTGACGTCACGAAAGATTTGCAGCAAAATTTCGTTCGAGTTAACTGAAATAAGTTCACCTTTGCGAATTCACTGCGCGAATATTTTATCTGACCTCACAAATACGCGTTTGTATTTTGCTTTTGCGCCAAAATCTTTACAGATACCAAGTAACTTTGAACGACATGTTTTCTTCGTTTATGTCTGTCTAGATATCAACGAATGTTTAGCCAACAATGGCAGAGGTCCATGCCAGCACATATGCTATAACAGCCCTGGAAGCTTCTCCTGCTATTGTCACTCAGGATTCACTTTGGCACAAGACAAAACCAGCTGTTTACGTAAGTTGCTCTAGCAGTTTCATAGCATCGTTCATCTCTTTATGCTTTTTTATTATTATTTATTTTTTAATTTCTGGTAATGACACCAAGGATTCCTCAAAAGCGCCCCTTAGGCACTGCAGTTTGCAAGTCTGAAGAACCTGATGAGAGGAGACAATGAGAAGCTGTTACAGTTTTAAAGGTGGGAGGAAAACCTAAGAGGAATATTCTGGAATCAGGTAGAGACTGAAAACCCAATCCACACCGGGCTGGGATTCGAACCCGGACCACAGAGGTGGAAGGCGAGGAAAGAACCACTACGTCAACCTGACTTCCCTTTATTCCAAAGAATAAAAAAGCAAAATTGTTATGTTTCTTTCCGGAAATCATTTTCTATTCACCAATGTTGTTACACCGGCAGGACCACAATTTGAACTTGTTCTGTTTTTTTCACATTCCATTTGCATATTTGTATGAAAAGGACACCCCGTAAGCAGTAGAACATTTAAAAACCTTTTTTGAACATTTAAAAATTTAGCATTTCAACTTGCTACAGTAAGGGATTGACTTTGACAAACCGTCCGTGAGCATCTCACAAGTGCCTGATAAACAGAACATCTTTCGAGTGAAATGATTAAACGTGGAAAGAGGAAGTGATCACTCACAAATGAATTTCTCGTTTTGAATATAGAAGAGGAACACATTTTGATGGCTAATGGACATCTGAGAGGTGATATCTTGGAAAAGGCTGTGTTGTTGCCTAAACCAGAATTTAGCCTACTTGTAACATTTATGTTTTTCAGGAAATCAAGACCAATGCAAATGTGGTACACACGGCCGATGCGTGCGAAATTATGGTACTAGGCCTACGTGCGTTTGTTATGATGGATACCGCCAGAGTAGTGATGGTCTACGTTGTGTTGGTAAGTATAAAATTACTTTATTTGCATAGTTAAAATAGAAGTATTTCCCCAATAGGCCTACATTTGGGAATAATTTGAAGGGAAGTTTAGACCGGTGTACTGTGACCAACGTTAAGCCAAACGTGGGGCAACAATTTCCCATTTTCGTGTGAACGGAATCTTTATTCAAACTATATATACCTTAATATATAAGTCAACTATTCTTTTTATCTTAGATCCAGAACCTCCATGTGATTGCGGGAGAGGCTCTACCAGATGCGAAGAAATCGATGGAGTAAAGAGATGTACCTGTGCTCGTGGGTACAGAGCCAGTTCTGATGGAACTAGATGTGATGGTACTTCATACTTTGTGATTTAATCTCAAACTGTTACGGGCTTTGCTTTTGGTCACTATGACCAGTCCTGCTAAATTTAAGCGAACACTGTAGTTAACTATAAGTTGACCAAACATCGCCCGAATGATAGATTATCTTGACCATCATAGTCGACCATTTGGAACCAGTTCTGGTGCATGGTTTCACTGATGGCTATCATTAGCTTATTTCATTTCTCAGTATAAAAGTAACCATTTACATGAAACAGATTGTACTGAATGTTTTTGATGAATGAACGATGGAGAGTTAGGCCTACAACCAACAGCAAAATGTATAAGTGACAATACCAGCTACAGCAATTAGTTCAACTTGGGTCGCTCGAGAGTGACTATAGTGCACGTGCGTTCCTGAACTTTTCCTCAGAAATATTAAACTAGGCAACGTCTGTAACTCAGATTTTCAATTGGTTCTTCCCAATAGACATCGATGAGTGCTTGGAGAGCGAGGACGGCCTGGCTGACTGCCAGGAGGCGTGTCAGAATACCTTGGGCTCATACAGCTGTTACTGCCCCCAACAGTGGCTTCGTCTCGCTGCAGACCTGCGGTCTTGTGAAGGTAGTCTTGGAAGAAAAGTTTTGCCTGGTTGTTTTATTAGTTGCATTTGAATCGTGCATGAAGGAAATTAAATGGAAGGTAGGTTGGCATGGTGCTGGATTCGGAACTGGAATGAGCACACCTTGGGCTGATATTGCTGTCTTTGCCGGCAGTGGTGGCTTCGCCTAGCTGTAGACAAACAGACCTGCAAAAGCAGTTTTGCAGGAAGTTGGGAATTTAATGTGAAACATGGTGCAAAATTCTAAGAGTTACTTACGGTCATCTGTATGGCAGAACATGAGTCGTCTATAGCCTAATTTGGTTCATCTGCATAAAAAATGCCGCCTTTTAATTTCCACTTCATTTTCCACTCGTATTAAATTGCAGAATGCCCCATTTTATAACATTTAATCTAGAAAGGCCGTGTAATTGCGGATTGGGCTCATCCAGCTGCTCCCAGCCCAACGGAACGAAGATCTGCACCTGCGCAGACGGTTACAAGCTTGCCCTAAATGGAGCTAGCTGTATCGGTAGGTTGGTCTTGAATGATGTGCAAACAGATTCAGAGATGGGACTTTCTAATGTCATTAGCTACTTACCGGTAAGCAAGAATATGTCTTTAGCTTTGGGATTTGCTTTTCTGTAGAGTTAATTTATTAGTAAGAGTAAGAAAGTGCAATATGGCACTGGAAGCATATACATGAATAGGAAACTTTGGTTGCATGTTATGAAAATGAATTCTTCATGTTCAAAAATCAACATTACAACATTTGTGTTCCAAAAAGGACTTGTATTAAAGATGCTTTTGGTGTTCTTTAATATAATATGGAGGATGCTGTGCATTTTCGATGATTGTAGTCAAGAAATTGTTTGGTTAAAAAAAGGGACGAAGAAATCGTTTGGTGAATCCATGAAAGAAAAAATGTTTCTCTATATGAAAATTGTCAATTTGAAATCTTTCAAACGTTGAAATCTTTTTTAAAATGTCCAATTTATAATTGAGAATTTTTGGAGCATGACTTGTAAATTTTGTGATTCCACTAGACG